AGTTGAGGTTAAGTGAACGATTTGTCCCAAATACAATGCTTTTAGTTTGAGAAATATTTAGGACTAACTTATTCCTTGCCATCCACTCTGAAACTAACTGCAGCTCTTTGTTAAGTGTTGCAGTCATTTCAGTCGCTGTAGTAGCTGACATGTATAGTGTTGAATCATCTGCATACATAGACACACTGGCTTTACTCAAAGCCAGTGGCATGTCATTAGTAAAGATTGAAAAAAGTAGGGGGCCTAGACAGCTGCCCTGGGGAATTCCTGATTCTACCTGGATTATGGTGGAGAGGCTTCCATTAAAGAACACCCTCTGTGTTCTGTTAGACTGGTAACTCTTTATCCACAATATAGCACGGGGTGTAAAGCCATAACACGTTTTTTTCTAGCAGCAGACTATGATCGATAATGTCAAAAGCCACACTGAAGTCTAACAAAACAGCCCCCACAATATATTTTTATCATCAATTTCTCTCAGCCAATCATCAGTAATTTGTGTAAGTGCTTGTTGAATGTCCTTTCTTATAAGCATGCTGAAAGTTTGTTGTATGAACGTACCATCCATCTTTTAACACCAGAGGGCGCACTTACGAGTTATGTTCTTGGGACCGATGAGGACTAGTGAGAACTTCCATATGAGCCAAAGACATCGAAAATACGTATTTTTGGATGAAAAGAAGTTGAAAATACCGCTTTCAACGTTTTGTGCTCAATGTATTCCCTTATTCACATCATACGGCCAAATCAAGTCAAGTTGTACTGAGCTGGCCTGCTTACACATCCCCCATAGTTGCTGGAAACGTGCTGAAAAAGGACCAGCATAGTACGATTCTGGTCGACGATACTGTGAATCAGCCATTAACGTCAATATGCCACATTTATGTCCAGAAAGGGAGAGAGAGGGGAAGGAGGGGGAAGGGGAGGGGGGAGAGAGAGGGGGAAGGAGGGGGAGAGAGAGGGGGAAGGAGGGGGAGAGAGAGGGGGTAAGGAGGGGGAGAGAGAGGGGAAGGAGGGGGAGAGAGAGGGGAAGGAGGGGGAGAGAGAGGGGAAGGAGGGGGAGACTACTAGTTTTTATGTCCAGAGGAGATGTGAGTCACAAAAAACAACCAACCAAATTTATTCCATGTCACAGTGTTGGTGAAAGAGTAGATACAAAGGAGAAGGTTTATCCAAGGCTGTCCACATGCCAAATTAAAAGGTTACATCTTTTGAAAAGTTGAACATTTGAATTCTTCCCTTCCACAGTTAACACAAATACAAGTCATTCATTTATGACTAACTGCATCAAAGCCAACAGAACGAGTATAACACAAAGGTATCTTAAATGTGAAAGGCAAACTTCAAAAGCGAGGATAAAGAGTATGTCATGACCAAAAACGTCCAGAATTTAAGGACTTGTTTCAGTCCCTAAAATGAAGAGGCATAGTTTGTCTTCTTAAAACACATAGAAACGGTAGAGTACAACATGCAATTTTAAAACCAAGAGCAACGTAATTTTTTACATAACCTAAATTTACTACAATAGAAATGTCAACAAAGCAAAATAAGTTTCAAGCCTTGGAAAATAATTGTGCAACATGCATGGCCTCACCTCAAGGTGAATGGCGTTTAATGTACGATTTTTGGCCCTTTGCTGCATAATGCTGAATGAAACCAGAGGACACCAATGACCGTACGAGTCCTTGTAGTTTGATTGGTAGATACTGTGTAACCATATGAAAAGCCAACAACCTAATCAGTTGAGTCAGAGGACAAATATTCAAGATTTCTTCCCAGCTCAACATCCCACTAAACCAAATGGATAATAACTTGTTTCCAGTTCTCTGTTACATTTCCTATTGTCCCACAATGCCATCCTTCCAAGTCTCCGAGTTGTGAGGAAGCCTGGAAAGAGGCTACATTTTTTCTGATTACAATCTCCGAACCCCTTCAATAACTCAACCTTTCCAGAAAGAACTACAGTATTTAATGAACATACTACATCTTGAAAACCAAAACAATAGTACACCGTCATACTGTAGAGTATTCGAAGAAAGCTCAACCTCCAACATTAACATCCACACCATATAGACGCTTCATGCTATTCACTTACTCTACACCATTCAATTTCGCCATTGCCACCCAGGAGAGACTTGCTTGGCAAGATAGTCATACAAAGTCATGGTCAGCTCAGTGATCCACATGTTCAGTTGAGACCTTAATATTACTTACTGCCAGAAAAGAAGGTTCAATAAGATCAAGTGAAAAGTTTTGGAATTACAGGCTTTGATGCATTAAGGGTTAGAAGAAAATGAGGCTACAGACGAGGTACTCAAACATTTAGGCGAACATTCTCTTTGTGTTTTTAAAGTAAATGGCTACCATGAGGTAAGGTGATAGCTAATGCTAGTTCCAGTAACTGCCATACCCCCTATTTGAATGCTACATGGAGACCAATATGGAAGAGCAACATTAAAATCAGGAACTTCTGGGAAGAGTATCTCAGTATTCTGTATGTGTTCCAAAGTAGCTAAGTGATGGTTGAAATGATAATGACTCCTCGAGTTTAGGGGCAATCTGCAGTTCAAACAATAAAAAAAGTGGGCACCTCGCCACCGTTTCGGTAAACAGCAGAAGGAGAAATGTAACCAATCTTAAATTCATAAAACAGCTATGGATGCAAGGACTGACCATCCATGATATCAAAACTATAGTTAACCATTTTGAGGCTATACAATTATTGTTTATAAACAAAGGCGTAAAACAAGCTTATAGTTTGGTTTCTAATGGGGTTATACAGTTGCACTAAGCTCATGAGACAGTTATATTCTTCATGAATCAATGGCTATAATGAATTTAAAAGTCAAAAACTTGATGTAGCAGATTGCCCCTTTAAATGTGTTTCAGAGCGAGAAATGGTGTAGCTACATGCATCCTCACCACACGGTCTGATGGAACTACATAAGGACAAAGGATGGTGATTCAATCATGCAGGACTTCCCAGATAGGTCAAATCAAATCCATGATACATCTGATGTAAGTCAACCACCCTTTTGTAAAACACTACCGTATGATGAGATGATGGCACAGGGAATCTGGTATAACATACTGAACCACTTGCTATGACCACACTATTAGCAAGACCTAGTAAGATTGGAAACGTACAAACTTGCATAGATACAGTGATGTGTAGAGCAGCTTTCGGATGTGTCCAAAACAGTCTAGTGACGTTTTGATATCCTTGCAAAGGTTAGCTGCATGTAGAGAGAGATCGACTTTCTCCTAATGAAAACATTGACAACCATACCACTAACATATGCAAGTTTTCCACTGGTTCACACAACAAAAAACATTTGTATAGGATTATTGTTCATTACAGTAGTTGGATATATATGACCAACATCAATGTGATATGGATGATATGAAGAGACATCTTTGTATCAGAGAGACATGAATTCATCTCTTATGTTCTACCTGACAATAAACAGGTTTTAATGACTGATTGTGATGCATTACACAAATTCATAATTTAAGTGTGCTTTCATAAGGACGGAATTGGACAAAAGCCATATTCTTCAGACTACTAAGGTGGCTTTTTGGCTACTTTTCTAATTTATTTAAGGCCATTTGTTTCTATTTGGCTAAGCAATATGCTTATCTGGGATTAGAGGAACTCGGAATGAATGGCATGACATCTATATTCAGGTATTCCATTCGACAACAGAAGCCGGAACCAGTTCCAAATGGTTTGTTCACATCTGTGTGGATGGGGACACTAAGGTTCAGGGCCTGTATTCACAAAGTGTTTCAGAGTAAGAGTGCTAATCTAGGATCAGTTTAGTCTTGCCTAGATCAGCAGTCCTACTCTGAGACCGTGTGAACACAGGGCCATGATTATCTTAATGGGACACCCTCACAAATACCTGCAGACACATATAAGAATTCGTAAAAGGAATACCTTCTTGCTGATAGTTGGAACAGAGCAAAATATTACAAAAACATTGACATCACCAAGTGAACGTGCTGAACAGGGGAGTGAGAGAGAGAAAACCTCCCAACTCCCGCCCCGGTCCTTAAAGTGACAAACGGAGTCTCATGTGCAAACAGAGTGAACACAAAAGGTGTGTCATCATGTAACTCCAGTGCTACTTCCTGTATGTTGAGAGCTACACAGAGAGCGAGCAGGGGGGTTGAAAGCTTTGTGTTCCACAAATGAACAAAAACAGAAACTCGATTAAAGTGAGTTCAAGTGAAAGGTCCTCTGATTTTAGCGGCTTCTGCGTGAAAATGTCCCGACGAGGGGATCTAGAACAGGGTTAGGCTCAATTCAAATTGAAGGCAGTAAATTCATGGAAGTGATTTGAATTTCTAATTCTGAAATGTAAAAATGTTTGAAATAAATAGTTTCTACTTTTCAGTTTATTGAGAAGTCATTAAAATAAATGCAATTTTTTCAATTATTGAATTGTAATTTTAGTTTACTTCCTGAATTGACTGCCTTCAATTCGAATTGACCCCAAACCTGATCAAGACATCCTAATGTGTTTATCCCTTGTCTTGATAAAACACCCTCCTCTTGTCTTGATAAAACACCCTCTTGTCTTGATAAAACATCCTCCTCTTGTCTTGTACTGCCTGAAGCACAGCTCAACGCCTCAGAGTGGCCCTGTAACAGTATACGTACACAAGCCCCCAAACCCATACAGAGAGGGGCATCATTGTCCTCCTCAAAGTCTGACCTCTGTGACCTTTGATCTCTTCCACCAGGCCAGGGGGCACAGGGTCTCCTCCTCCTCCTCCTCCTCCTCCTCCTCTCCCACCATGACACTGTGGAGTGAGATGGATCGGGACGCGGCTGGGCGAGACAGCACAGCTAGGCCCCAGTCCCGTTAAATGAAGCAGCGCTCCAAGGTTGGAGGGAGGAAACAGAAAAAGGAACAAAAAGGAAAAATGGCCCATGGCAGGGGAGGGGGGGGGGACTATTCACCCGCCTGCTTGGTGGGGTGAGGTGGGGTTTAGGTGGGAAAGGGGTCGTCATCTCCTTTGCTGCACTTGCACTTGCAGCAGAGGATGAATGGTGTGGCCAGGAGGAGGAAGGGAGAGGCCACCAGCAGGAGCAGGCCAAAGCCAGCAAAGATCCCCACCACCTGGAGAGAGAGAGGAGATCGAGAGAGGAAGGGAGAGGAGAGAGAGTGAGAGGGGAGAGCAGGGAGGGGGAGAGGGAGGGAGAGGAGAGAGGGGGAGGGGAGAAGAGAGAAAGTAAGAGGGTGAGAGAATGCAACAAGACAGAGGCGCCAGCAAATAAGACACTGTTTGTTTAGATACATAGAAAAAATATCAAAAGGACAACACATGTAGCACTATAGAGAAAATACTTTGAAAAGAGGACTAGCATCTGCGAAATCCCTTAACAGGATAATTAGACTCCAAGCCATTTTCACTTTCCTTCTCAAAACATTTTCTCGTTTGGCCTTATTGAACCTCTGTGTGTGCTGGGTATCCTCTTCTTTTCAGTCACCTATCTCACCACATGGTGGCATCTGATTCCAGCCCAACATCTCCTCAGCTACAAAATGGCATTCAAAACATGCATTTACAGGCAAGATCTCCTTCTTAGAATAACATAACGCAATTCTGCCAGTTTCAGAGCAGGAGTCAGAGATTCATTTTTGGGATCACCCCAGGGCATGTCTGTGAAGGACAAGATGGCAGAGAGCGAGATATAGTTATCATCAAAAAATAACTGCAAATTGACCATTTTGACGGTCAGCTAGATGGTTTAACGTAATACCCTTTGACAAAGACCTTTTAATTAAAGAGCACCATATGCATGGATACATATCATAGTTGCGATCCACTCTTGGGCGTTTCAGTTCTCTTCCTCTTGTGGAGATATTCATATTTACATTATTCCCCAGACGAGCACCACATGAACATTTAGTGGTGCCGGCATACATGTATTAACATGATATCCTGTTTGCTCATATCAACAAACCCTGACAACGCTATTGTATAGAATAGACCATGTCTGGTCTGAGAACAGTAAGCCTAGAGAGTAGAACAGTAAGCCCAGAGAGTAGAACAGTAAGCCTAGAGAGAGTAGAACAGTAAGCCCAGAGAGTAGAACAGTAAGCCCAGAGAGTAGAACAGTAAGCCCATAGAGTAGAACAGTAAGCCTAGAGAGTAGAACAGTAAGCCCAGAGAGTAGAACAGTAAGCCCAGAGAGTAGAACAGTAAGCCCAGAGAGTAGAACAGTAAGCCTAGAGAGTAGAACAGTAAGCCCAGAGAGTAGAACAGTAAGCCCAGAGAGTAGAACAGTAAGCCTAGAGAGTAGAACAGTAAGCCCAGAGAGTAGAACAGTAAGCCCAGAGAGTAGAACAGTAAGCCCAGAGAGTAGAACAGTAAGCCCAGAGAGTAGAACAGTAAGCCTAGAGAGAGTAGAACAGTAAGCCCAGAGAGTAGAACAGTAAGCCTAGAGAGAGTAGAACAGTAAGCCCATAGAGTAGAACAGTAAGCCCAGAGAGTAGAACAGTAAGCCCAGAGAGTAGAACAGTAAGCCCAGAGAGTAGAACAGTAAGCCCAGAGAGTAGAACAGTAAGCCCAGAGAGTAGAACAGTAAGCCCAGAGAGAAGAACAGTAAGCCCAGAGAGTAGAACAGTAAGCCCAGAGAGTAGAACAGTAAGCCCATAGAGTAGAACAGTAAGCCTAGAGAGTAGAACAGTAAGCCCAGAGAGTAGAACAGTAAGCCCAGAGAGTAGAACAGTAAGCCCAGAGAGTAGAACAGTAAGCCCAGAGAGTAGAACAGTAAGCCCAGAGAGTAGAACAGTAAGCCCAGAGAGGTGACCTTCATTCCTCCTATGGCATCCCTAGTGGACACAATCCCAGAACTGATCTGAAGTCAGACAGCGGCTGAGCTTTCATAAAGGCTGGATTTGCCCTATCAGATCAGGGCCTTTATTCATAAAATGTCTCAGAGTAGGAGTGCTGATCTATGATCAGTTTTGCCTTTTAGATCACAATGAATATGATTACATGGACGGGGGGGACCTGATCCTAGAGCAGCACTCCTTTTGTGAATAAGGGCCCTGGCTGTGTTATGTATTCATGAGGAGTTAGAGAGAGCGACAGGTTTCTTAAGGTCTTTGGAAGCAGTGAGGTTGCATGGGCTGGGTAGGAAGCAGTGAGTATTGTATGGGCTGGGTAGGAAACAGTGAGGTTGTAAGGGCTGGGTAGGAAGCAGTGAGGTTGTATGGGCTGGGTAGGAAACAGTGAGGTTGTATGGGCTGGGTAGGAAACAGTGAGGATTGTATGGGCTGGGTAGGAAGCAGTGAGTATTGTATGGGCTGGGTAGGAAACAGTGAGGATTGTATGGGCTGGGTAGGAAGCAGTGAGTATTGTATGGGCTGGGTAGGAAACAGTGAGGATTGTATGGGCTGGGTAGGAAGCAGTGAGGTTGTATGGGCTGGGTAGGAAACAGTGAGGTTGTATGGGCTGGGTAGGAAGCAGTGAGGTTTGTATGGGCTGGGTAGGAAGCAGTGAGGATTGTATGGGCTGGGTAGGAAGCAGTGAGGATTGTATGGGCTGGGTAGGAAGCAGTGAGGATTGTATGGGCTGGGTAGGAAGCAGTGAGGTTTGTATGGGCTGGGTAGGAAGCAGTGAGGATTGTATGGGCTGGGTAGGAAGCAGTGAGTATTGTATGGGCTGGGTAGGAAACAGTGAGGATTGTATGGGCTGGGTAGGAAGCAGTGAGGTTGTATGGGCTGGGTAGGAAACAGTGAGGTTGTATGGGCTGGGTAGGAAGCAGTGAGGTTTGTATGGGCTGGGTAGGAAGCAGTGAGGATTGTATGGGCTGGGTAGGAAGCAGTGAGGATTGTATGGGCTGGGTAGGAAGCAGTGAGGATTGTATGGGCTGGGTAGGAAGCAGTGAGGATTGTATGGGCTGGGTAGGAAGCAGTGAGGTTGTATGGGCTGGGTAGGAAGCAGTGAGGTTTGTATGGGCTGGGTAGGAAGCAGTGAGGTTTGTATGGGCTGGGTAGGAAGCAGTGAGGATTGTATGGGCTGGGTAGGAAGCAGTGAGGTTGTATGGGCTGGGTAGGAAGCAGTGAGGATTGTATGGGCTGGGTAGGAAGCAGTGAGGTTGTATGGGCTGGGTAGGAAGCAGTGAGGTTTGTTGGGCTGGGTAGGAAGCAGTGAGGTTTGTATGGGCTGGGTACAGGAGGTACACAAGCTGTAACCATGCTCATGACTCAGCCTGTCACACTGGGCAACAGATGTCAGTGTGTAAGCTAGCAGTCACAATACTCTATTAAACACAGGAAATGTGCTCGTCTATGAATAGATATGTGCTTGAAGATACTGTAGTTATAGCTGAAAAATGAGTTGGTGATGTAAGATGATTCATTTTTTTGTTGTTGCATTAAATCAATATTAAAATAACAATTCTAAAGGACATATGGACTTTGATTTTCCAATGTATAGCATGTGCTATGTAATGTATATGTTGCGACTGACTATCTCTCTATTTGTGCCAAACTAAAAGCTTTACTATGTCCCAGTGAATAGCAAATGTACACATATTATAGAAAGGAAATTACGTAGAAGATAGCAATGTAATGCCAGAGACATGTTCTAACCAACAATAATGGGCCAACACACGAACCAACCTGTGCTCTTCTACCGACCAGTGTTTTTACAGAGCACCATCCATGTGTATTCATGATGAACACGTGAAGTCCAGTGTGTGAAAGAGAGAGCGAAAGGAAAGTTCCAAAGGAGAACACTGAGTGTGCTAACACACTAACTTACCTGTGTTCTGTGCCAGGTGACAGATGACCTGGAGTGACCCAGTTTGTTTCGACAGGGTCCTTTGTCAAAGTGGATCAGGAGGAAGTCATCCTGTGTCACACACACAGAGACACATGCACATACGCAAAACACACACAAACACACAGACATCACAGACAGAGAGAGAGAGAGAGAATAATTATCTATCATTAGTACTCAGAGGCAGCTGCTGGGAGAAAATTGCTTTTAAAATGGCCAGTGCAGTATAAATCGCCTGTGGTCTGTAATGAGGATTTACTTAAGACACTGCCAGTAAAGCCTCCTATCTTCCTACAAGCACAGATAAAATAAACTGTTCCGGACGACTGTGATCACGCACTCCGTAGCCGATGTGACTAAGACCTTTAAACAGGTCAACATTCACAAGGCCGCAGGGCCAGACGGATTACCAGGACGTGTACTCCGAGCATGCGCTGACCAACTGGCAAGTGTCTTCACTGACATTTTCAACCTCTCCCTGTCTGAGTCTGTAATACCAACATGTTTCAAGCAGACCACCATAGTCCCTGTGCCCAAGAACACTAAGGTGACCTTCCTAAACGACTGCCGTAGCACTCACGTCTGTAGCCATGAAGTGCTTTGAAAGGCTGGTCATGGCTCACATCAACACCATTATCCCAGAAACCCTAGACACACTCCAATTTGCATACCGCCCCAACAGATCCACAGATAATGCAATCTCTATTTCGCTCCACACTGCCCTTTCACACCTGGACAAAAGGAACACCTATGTGAGAATGCTATTCATTGACTACAGCTCAGCGTTCAACACCATAGTCCCCTCAAAGCTCATCACTAAGCTAAGGACCCTGGGACTAAACACCTCCCTCTGCAACTGGATCCTGGACTTCCTGACGGACCGCCCCCAGGTGGTAAGGGTAGGTAACAACACATCCACCACGCTGATCCTCAACACGGGGGCCCCTCAGGGGTGCGTGCTCAGTCCCCTCCTGTACTTCCTGTTCACTCATGACTGCATGGCCAGGCACGACTCCAACACCATCATTAATGTGGTCCTCTGTAGCTCAGCTGGTAGAGCATGGCGCTTGTAACGCCAAGGTAGTGGGTTCGATCCCCGGGACCACCCATACACAAAAATGTATGCACGCATGACTAAGTCGCTTTGGATAAAAGCGTCTGCTAAATGGCATATTATTATTAAGTTTGCCGATGACACAACAGTGGTAGGCCTGATCACCAACAATGACGAGACAGCCTATCGGGAGGAGGTCAGAGACCTGGCTGTGTGGTGCCTGGACAACAACCTCTCCCTCAACGTGATCAAGACAAAGGAGATGATTGTGGACTACAGGAAAAAGAAGAGGACCGAGTACCCCCCATTCTCATCGACAGGGCCGTAGTGGAGCAGGTTGAGAGGTTCAAGTTCCTTGGTGTCCACATCACCAACAAACTATCATGGTCCAAGCACACCAAGACAGTTGTGAAGAGGGCACAACAAAACCTATTCCCCCTAAGGAGACTGAAAAGATTTGGCATGGGTCCTCAGATCCTCAAAAGGCTCTACAGCTGCACCATCGAGAGCATCCTGACTGGTTGCATCACTGCCTGGTACGGCAACTGCTCGGCCTCCGGCTGCAAGGCACTACAGAGGGTAGTGCTAACGGCCCAGTACATCACTGGGACCTCTATACCAGGCGGTGTCAGAGGAAGGCCCTAAAAATTGTCAAAGACTCCAGCCACCCTAGTCATAGACTGTTCTCTCTCCCATCGCACGGCAAGCGGTACCGGCGCGCTAAGTCTAGGTCCAGGAGGCTTCTAAACAGCTTCTACCCCCAAGCCATAAGACTCTTGAACATCTAATCAAATGGCCAACTGTTTTTTTGGCCAACTGTTTTTTTTTGTGGTATTCTTTCTTAAAACTGCATTGTTGGTTAAGGGCTTGTAAGTAAGCATTTCACTGTAAGCTCTACACCTGTTGTATTCGACGCATGTGACAAATAACATTTGATTTGCAGCCTTATCACACCTCCTGCAGTGCTGTTACTCCCTATGTAACACATTGAATCACTGCTAACACCAGAACGAGTGAATTCTATGCAAATATCAGACTGCTGTATTGCAGTCAGGTCCAACATACTCTGTAAAGCTAAATAAAAAAATCATTCGCAAAGATACGTGTGTTTATTCTATAAGAACGTGAGCATGTTGTAGCAGTACTTGTGCGGAGGTGTTTCGGGCAAACATTGGGACAACGTTGTACTCACGTCCAGGAACTCTAGAAAGTACCAGCAGAAAGGCGTGTGTGTGAGGGAGACAGGGTTCTCTACTCACGTCCAGTGACTCCAGGCAGTACCAGCAGAAGGCGTGTTTGCAGTTCTTGCACATCATCTGGGCACAGCCCTCGTCTCTCTCTATGTACATCTTACACTTGGGACAGCGCTTGATGGGACCGTCGTCATCGTCACTCTTGTAGAAGGAGCTGAGGAGACACAGTGAGTGTGAGAGAGAGAGAGAGAGAGGAGCGCAACGTTCATTTTGCTGAATAATGCTAACAAACATCAGAGACCCAGAACGCAGCCAGAGATGTTCCACCCATACAGTGCATCAAGCCACAGAGCTGTTATAGCCTTTGTAACTGTACAATAGATCCAAGCTTGCAATAAACAGCATTTTCCCCTAAACACTTGCAATGCAAATAAAATGAAAAAGCCAAAGTGTGCTCGTCTTGGCCTTTCTTTTTCCTACTCCTTTCAGTCCTTTCTTTCCCCTCATCACCTTAAAGGCAGGCATTTTCTCTCCATTTTGAATGCTGCTGACTCTTCTGGCCAGAGAGGAGGAGAGCAGGTGATGCTGTCAGATGTCCTCTCAAGAGTCTCAGAGAGCTGGACACAGAACAAGCCCATTCATTTCCTGAGCCAATTCTCCGGCTATTGATCCCATATGGCCAGAGTGAATTAAGGCACACCTCTCACTTCCTCCTTAATTTGATACCCTGGCAGCCATTTTGCAACAAAACAGGACTTTCGGATTCTAGCTTCTACTCTGGAAGGAAAGGGATGGAGGCCTGAATGTAATGGAATACAGGTTCAAGATCATAAGGTAAAATACCTGGATCGTGTGAGGATTGAGGAGAGAGCATCTTTCTCCTGAATGATGTCTGTTTTGTCTGAGCAATGGCAACGGAGTGAAACTAAAACAAATATTATCAGCGAAAGGCAGCAAGCTCAGTGCAAAATGGGATCGGTCCACTGAGGATAACATTTGCCCTTTGTGATAATTGCTTCATATGTCAGCTGGGTGCAGATCTGGCTAATAGTGTAAGAGGAGGCCATGCAAATTAGGAGGCTAATTTCCCTCCCACACTCTCCGAGGGGAGAGAGGATAAGGAAGAATGTGCTCCAGAGCTCGTTGTTAAGACAACTGAAGCATGACAGTAAAAGCCATACAGTCTTGACAGCGGGGGTAAGAGAGGAGGCTGAGAGTTTAAAAGGGGCAATCTGCAGCTGATACATCCATTTTGGGATGGATAAATGAAATGTACCCATTGATTCTTGAAGAATATAAATTATAAATGCCTCATGAGCTTAGTTGAGCTGTCATACATACCCCATGAGAAACCAAAATAAGCTTGTTTTACTCTGTTTGTATACAATGTAAATGTAAACAAACACTGTAAAACATGGTTAAAACTACCATTTTGATATCATGGATGGTCAGTACTTGCATCCATAGCTCTGTCTATGAATTTAAGAGTGGTTACATTTCTCCAGCCCCATCCCTCAGCTTTTTACCGAAACAGGGGCAGGGATACGCTTTGTTATTGTTTCAACTGCTGATTGCCGCTTCAAAGAGGAAGTTCAGGATTTTACAACTGGATGTTAGTTGGTTCCCCAACCTGAAGGTAGTCTATGGGCCAGGAAAAACTGTAATCCCATGGTTCTATTTTTATTTAAACAGCCAATACAAACATCAGCTAACTATAGCCACCCCTAGCTAACAATCAATGGAAGTGATGGGGGCATGTGTGCATGTAAAAAAAAAAAAAAAACTTTAAGTAGCATCAAACTAAATGTGGCGCTGATTTGAGTTGATTTGGCCATGGAATTTTGAAAATGTTTAGCTAAAGTTTGTTGTGGCTGTTTAGAGAAAACCGAACCATGGATTACAGTTTTCTCCTGGCCCATAGACTACTTAAATTGTAAAATCCTGAACATTCCCTTGAACCACTGGGGCCTTTTGTGACATCTGAGGACAACTCAACAACACTCTCTCCCCTTCGCTCTACTTTTAGATGGCTTTAAAACTGGGCCACCACATCCTATAGTTTTAAGTAGATGACTCGTCCAAATTCAGATTGGCTATGAGTTACAGTCATAAATTGATCTACTGGCTCCCTGTACGACTTCCTCTGTGACTTTAGTACTTGCATCCATAGCTCTTAACTGACACCATGGGTCCCAGCACTACCATCAGGCAATCTGCTCCAGCCAATACACTCAGTCATATTAAATATCCACTAGAATGTACTAGATGACTAGAGACTACTACATGATTCATGCCATAGGGTTATGCATGAGAGCAGCAGGCTTCCTGGAGCCATCAACAGCGGTCACTAGGCTGGTATCCAGGAACAGAGAGCTGACTGGATGGTAAATACAGGTTCCCACAGGGACCAGAGGTTGTGTCCTCACAGTATCCTCAGTAGAGAGGACAGAGGCTGTGCCCTCACAGTGTCCTCAGTAGAGAGGACAGAGGCTGTGCCCTCACAGTGTCCTCAGTAGAGAGGACAGAGGCTGTGCCCTCACAGTGTCCTCAGTAGAGAGGACAGAGGCTGTGCCCTCACAGTGTCCTCAGTAGAGAGGACAGAGGCTGTGCCCTCACAGTGTCCTCAGTAGAGAGGACAGAGGCTGTGTCCTCAGTAGAGAGGACAGAGGCTGTGCCCTCAGTAGAGAGGACAGAGGCTGTGCCCTCACAGTGTCCTCAGTAGAGAGGACAGAGGCTGTGCCCTCACAGTGTCCTCAGTAGAGAGGACAGAGGCTGTGCCCTCACAGTGTCCTCAGTAGAGAGGACAGAGGCTGTGCCCTCACAGTGTCCTCAGTAGAGAGGACAGATGAGGGCAGATCATCAACATGAGAAGGAAACAATGAATATGTGTGTACGTGTGTGTGTGTGTGTGGATAATGGCACCAGGGTTTCCAAAACAAGAACAGTATTCCCGTCAAACTTATGTTTATGCTCTCAACAAAACCATGTTTCCAGCAACTTATTAAAGCCAGTTACGCAGGTTGATTGAATAAGGCCCCAAGTGCTGCTTTTTGGGATGAAATGTCATTCAGTGGTCACGAGTGTAACCCTATTCAACTAGTTTGAGGTGATGGAAAGGAGAGAGTGATTAAAGTGGCACTCCAGTCTCTTTTTCACCTCATTTAACACCCATATTTACTAAACAATAGGTGGTCCAGGTATGTCATGACATGGCACATGTGGAGGGGTGAGCTTTCCTCTTTTGTTCTCTATTGCTCCTCAAGCAACAGGGGAGGCCGATGACATCACGACATCCCATCAGACCAACTCTGGCTCGAATGCCCTACTCCTTGAAGATTTCAGTTGTCAACCCCCCCAAAAAATAATTTGCTCAAAACTTATGTTTTTTACCCTTTAGTGTGTGTACTTGACTGTATTTATACTTGGGATATCGCTTTTCAACAGTAAAAGTTCAAAGATGGCTGGAGGGTGTCTTAAATATGGTGAAGACAGAGGAGGAGGAAGAGGACAAACTCCAGCTCTATACCTGGTCTCTACGGGTAGGAAGGATGTGTTGGGGAGGAGAGGAAGTGATTGAGATGAAGAAAGAGGAGGAAAAAGAGGAGAAAGAGGAAAGTAGAGTCTTGGTTAGAGTCTTGGGCGTTATCCAGATTGTCATACCGACTTTGTGCCATACCGGGATATTCAGTAATACCGGCACTGAACACAAGGATCACTGATACTCTGTAATCCAAATGTTAGCATTGCTAACAAGTACATGTCAAATCCCATAGAGAATGATAACTAAATGCTAACGAGCGCATTGCAAACATTTTGTACAGTTTCTGACCTAAACTATACAAGTAACAAAAAAACGCTACTCACAGTTTGCTGTACGCACAAAACTAATTTTAACCAGCAAGGCTCTTGATCAAGGAGGGGATTCTCTGCTGTTACCAAGTAAATGCTTGATTTTGGAAGAAGCTAACCACTTAGCTAGATAGCTAACTAGCTACTAAATTAGCAAACCAAATGCACAACTGCAGAGCATTTATCACATTTTAGACAGTTAACTTAATAGTTAAGATTTCTAGCTGGCAAACAGTTGTGAATTCCATACTGTAATTAGATCACCTGGTGCGTGCTGCACAACAGTGAGTGACTCACAAGGCCCTGGTCTCTCGTCGTTGGGGACTACCGTAAGCTTCATAATAATGGGAGGGGTGAAATGAAGAACGCAATCTTCTTTATCTCCTAACGTATTGCACAAGTTGACTGCAGGTATTTACTTAAAAGCAGCTACAAATACTCATATTTATTAAAAAACTTCAAAGAAATAGTTTAAACAGTATTGACGTTATTCAAAAATCATCCCGTGGCTTTTTCCAAATACCCCGGTATAACGTCCAACCCTAGAGGAGACTGTCCACTTCCATACCTGGTCTCTCCAGGTAGGAAGGCGGTGATGGGCAGGTTGTTCTCCTGTGGTGGGCAGGCCTGCCCGGGGTGCCAGTTAGCCTTGCAGGCCGAGCAGAACTCCAGGGTGCACACGGCACACTGCACCAGCTGGGGCAGCGCCACCTCAGTCTCCTTCAGCTGGCACACTGACTGGCACGACGACGACGGGCACCACGTCAGACACGGGTCCAGAAGCACCTCTGTGGTGGCACAAAATCAGGTGTCACCACCAACAGACAGTACTGTAACCCCCGCCCACTTGTGTGGTAGTGGTATGGTGACTGCTGCCAAAGCATGCTGACATGAGTTGACATTAGGTCATGAGGTCATAAGTGATTGTAGTGCCTATGTCTCTACATGTCACACACGCACATTAAAATATTGTGGCAACACACACATTCAATGCAATGGCTTTTTGCAGAAATTACAGAGATATTAATGATGTGATTATAGTATTTGGATTGTTTTTGCTATGTATTTTTTACTACTTTATTGTTGATTGTTGTCTTCTTTCATGTATGTGTGTACAGTGAGATTGGTTTGGTTTGTCAATTTTTTTCTTACATTGCACTCTGACCTATGCACAAGTACACATACAATCGCACTCACAAGCACAATTGTGACTGACGTAAACACAAACTCCCAATCATGTGTAAGTTCACATACGCACACACAGACACAAATCTACTTCAGTTGGTTCATAACACGGCAGCTAAATACCCTTCAATTTTTCTCCATTTAAATTACATTTGCTTCTACCAAACTAAACAAAACTGGTAGATGCTCAAAGTTTGGTCTGTCGCTACAAAACAAACCCGACCATCCTGTCCCAATCGAAAACACACACTGCTTGTGTCCAATGTGACAGCCCCTTGCTTGCACGCAATTCCACATGCAGTCTTTGGCTCTGTCAAATATGGAACGGTTTCAGACGCTATTCTGCCTGGCTGGCCTGGAAAGTTGATGAGATGGCTGACTGCCTTTATCCACTCATCTCCCTGGCTTTTCTTAAATATTTCTACTCATTTATGGGGATCTAATGTGGCCACGGTCACCATATTGTGTGTGTGTGTGTTTGTATGTGTATGCATGCACACTAGGGTTGAATATTTTCCAGATATTTTACAAAAAAACGTTCCATCCCGAGAATAAATAACTTTTCACCCGGGTAACCCAGTATTTCCCGCCAAAACCGGAAGTGTCATTCAAAAGCATTATAAAGCATATAAATAGGCCTATGTCTGGATTTGATTAGAGCTTTGATAAGAAATTCAAGCCTGATGCAACCTGAGCCTGATTAAATAGCCATACATTAAAGACATTTCATGAGCCCAAGCCCCAAAAATCCCAAATGATTGTGCCGTTATCCAATACATAGGCTATATGATATATAGGCTACTGCACATTATGCACGACAGAAAAACATAAAAGCACATAGATGTAGCTAGCTATATGCTCTCTTGGGTAAATCAATGAAACTAGCTCCAGTAGGCTAATCCTTTTGAGTGTGAACTGTATTACTGTACTGTATTGTATTATACTGTATTATATGGACTGGAATTACGCACATCGTTCAAACCATTATAAAGCAGAAGAGAACATGCGTTTCTGGTGCAGCACCTGCGGCCTACAAAGTTACAAGTATAGGCTAGAGAATTTGACTTTCATTTTTTAGAATATTTCCCCTAATGTTATTAGCCTGCCTACCTCTTTCTCGCTCTAGTGTTGCTTCCTTCCTCGCTTTCAACAGTTAAATGAAATACGTTTTGTTGTCCTTATCTTCATCATTCTAATGACATGCTTGAATAATATAGGACTAGAATAAGATGAAGGCTTTCACTTCGAGAATGTTTATGGTCTGAATAAAAAAACTGTTATAGCCTACCGTCATCGAGCGTTCGCTCTTCTTTCAAACTACCCGTGAGTTCTATTGGCTGCTCTATTTAACATTCAGCAAACAAGAGCTTGCGTCCCTCTTCGAATAGTCTATTGGTATACGAAGAGCAAAAAAAAAAGTTCAGCATGCTATTCTAGTCTAGCTTTTCCTGCATGGGACTCCAAGATGAGCGTTTTTTACAGCGAGAGGCCAGCGGAGCACAGGTGCATGTGTATTGCACAAGAGGTTTTTCTTTTTACGACATTGGAAAGGTATAGAAAGATCTACAGAGGCTATAAGTTAGAAGCTTTTTAAGCATAACCCATCATTCATTAGCTAAATATAAGGCTAATACTGCATTGAATGTATTACCTGAAAGAGGTAGTCTAGGACATCTATATATAGGCCTATATATCAATCTTGAACAGGATTATCTATTTTGGATGCAATTTGAACGTAATTGATGGAGAGAGAGAAAGACTGCGAGAGAGTGCTCGCTTGTGCACTGATTTAAAGCAACAATATACAAGTGTTTTAAAACTCTGCAGCTGCAATTTAAAAAAAGATATTTACAACAAAAAAAAAAATAAGGTGACCCCGAAAGCCATATGGAGATGTGTAAATGACAGATGAATTTATAACAGAACACTGGGACCAAAGATTAAAGGCTTTGAGAGAAAATATTCCCCAGCCAGACATACTGTAGGCCATGATATACATTGCATTCGGAAAGTATTCAAACCCCTGGACTTTTTCCACATTTTGTTACATTACAGCCTTATTCTAAAATGGATTAAATTGTCCCCACCCCCCACCCCCATCCCCCCTCAATCTACACACAATACCCCATAATGACAAAGCAAAAACAGGTTTTTAGAGATTTTTGAAAATGTATTATTAAAACTAAAAAACTGAATTATTTAGACCCCTTACTCAGTACTTTGTTGAAGCACCTTTGGCAGTTTTTACAGCCTCGAGTATTCTTGAGTATGACGCTACAAGCTTGGCACACCTGTATTTGGGGAGTTTCTCCCATTCTTCTCTGCAGATCCTCACAAGCTCTGTCAGGTTGGATGGGGAGCGTTGCTGCACAGCTATTTTCAGGTCTCTCCAGAGATGTTCGATCAGGTTCAAGTCCGGGCTATGGCTGGGCCACTCAAGGACATTCAGAGACTTGTCCAGAAGCCACTCCTGCGTTGTCTTGGCTGTGTGCTTAGGGTCGTTGTCCTGTTGGAAGGTGAACCTTCACCCCAGTCTGAGGTCCTGAGTGCTCTGGAGCAGGTTTTCATCAAGGATCTCTCTGTACTTTGCTCCGTTCATTTTTTCCCCTCAATCCTAACTAGTCTCCCAGTCCCTGCCGCTGAGAAACATCCCCACAGCATGATGCTGCCACCACCATGCTTCACCATAGGGATGGTTCCAGGTTTCCTCCAGATGTGATGCTTGGCATTCAGGCAAAAAAGTTCAATATTGGTTTCATCAGACCAGAGAATCTTGTTTCTCATGGTCTGAGAGTCTTTAGGTGCCTTTTGGCAAACTCCAAGGGGGCTGTCATGTGCCTTTAACTGAGGAGTGGCTTTCAGCTCTAGGAAGAGTCTTGGTGGTTCCAAACATATTCAATTTAAGAATGATGGAGGCCACTGTGTTCTTGGGAACCTTCACTGCTGCAGAAATGTTTTGGTACCCTTCCCCAGATCTGTGTTTCGACACAATCCTGTCGTCTCGGAGGTCTACGGACAATTCCTTCGACCTCATGGCTTGGTTTTTGCTCTGACAACTGTGGGACATTATATAGACAGGTGTGTGCCTTTCCAAATCATGTCCAATCAAATGAATGTACCAAAGGTGGACTCCAATAAAGTTGTAGAAACATCAAGGATGCTCAATGGAAACAGGATGCACCGGAGCTCAATTTCCAGTCTTATAGAAAAGGGTCTGAATACTTATGTAAATAAGGTATGTTTTTTATTTTTAATACATTTGCAAAAATTTCTAAGAACCTGTTTTCACTTTGTCATCATGGGGTATTGTGTGTAGATTGATGAGGACAATGTTTTATTTAATACATTTTAGAATAAGGCTGTAACGTAACAAAATGTGGAAAAAGTCAAGGGGTCTGAATACTTTCCGAATGCACTGTAGCCATACCAATCCAATTAACATCACTTTAAATGCACCCGAAAAGGCTTTCCTCTCTGTGGTTGTGGGTCGTGTTCAACTTTGATTAGGATTGAGACAGGATTGAAGCCAGGACACGATAGGTCAGCCAACAGGCCAAACATTCTGATATTGGGAATGACACTGATGATAATCCTGTGTGACATTGAGACAGTACTGCAGGTGACAGTCCGCCAGGACTGGAGACTGTGAGAGTCCAGGTAAAGAATGAGAGATGTTGTAGAGAGAGCGGCCAAAGGCTGTACACACATGACAAGGTAGAGGGTTGTCATTGTCCTCTTGGTCACTTTGAAATGGTGTGGAGACAAGGGAGCCAGGTGGGGCTCCTGTGACCAGAGTAGACACACGGACGCGAGCGAGACGCACAGACGCGCACGCCACACACACACACACACACACACACCAGGCTATGAGTGGTGAGGCTGTCACAGATCGGTTCCTCTCCCACTCACCCCTCTCAAACTGTAGCTTCTTGTGTCTCTGCATAACCTCTGAAGCCACCATGCACTCGATCTGCAGGAGGAAGAAAAGAGGAAGTTAGGAACATGTGCTTGTGATAGCAAGCGAATATCGGACAGGATGCTTTCAGCTACAACAGTCTGAAGATGATCAATTCCAAAACCCCACTCAATTCCAGCATCATTAGAACTTGCCCACCTGTTTTAAAAGAGAGGAATATATGCATACTGGCTAGGTATACTGAGGGTTAAATGTAGTCATTATGCGATGATGAAAATAACATTCGGTGGGGGGGGGGGGGGGGGTTTATCAAAGACGTAGCTGTCATAGCGGCTGGATGAGTACACCGTCTGACTTCAGTTAAAAGCCGGGTCCTATTAAAGGCCAGTGACTTTGACTGATTGGCCGTGACACCAGCCTCCGAGACAGGGAGAGTGAGTCCATCAAGCAATGCCTGGAGAGGCGAGGAGCGGTGCCCTTGGATTGATCTCAAATCGGGGAGGGATGCAGGTGAGTAGAGCCCATCCACTCTATATAAGCACGATGACATGTTTAGATGGGGAGCCAGAGCTGAGCCGGTGCTAGGCCAGATTGCTGTGGTGAGGGGGAGCCGGTGCTAGGCCAGATTGCTGTGGTGAGGGGGAGCCGGTGCAGGCAATTGCTGTGTGAGGGAGCGCGGCAAAGGCCAGATGCTGTGGTGAGGGGAGCCGGTGCTAGGCCAGATTGCTGTGGTGAGGGGAGCGGAGCTTGCCAGACCGCTGTGGTGAGGGAGCCGGTCTAGCCAGATTGCTGGGGTTGAGGGGGACCGGAGCTAGGCGAGCGCTGTGGTGAGGGGGAGCCGTGTAGGCAGATTGCTGGGGTGAGGGCGACGGAGCTAGCAGACGCTGTGTGAGGGAGCCGTGTAGGCAGATTGTGTGGGAGGCAGCTTTGGGGAAGGCTAATGTTTAAATCAGCAGGAAACCCCAATGAAACCCTGTCCTTCTGCAGCCTCAGGTCTCAGGAATGGGGGTGGAGATCTTTGAAGCACATGTGAACACATTTCATTAATCTAAACAACTCGCATACCTTATCTATATGTTTATAGTAATTGTTGTTCCAAAGGACTAAATGTAAATAAAAGTTGGGCCAGGAAAGACAATAATGCCTGATTTTTTTTAAACCTATGTCCCCTTCACATCCAAGACGCCACCTTCACTTCTATTGTTTTTTATCAATGCTAATATTAGCAGTTGATAACAGGAGCTAAGTAATGAAAAATCTGAAGAGTGAATTAAAAAGTTTCTTGCCCACAGACTAAGTGTCAAGGTAAAGAGACATTAACTATCTGTAATTTGGGTGAACTATCCCTTTAAAGTGGAACTTCCCACTTCTCATGTGTAAATAACTATTGTGCTGTGTGTGTGTGTATATATATATATATATATATATATATATATATATATATATATATATATATATATATACACACACACACACACACACACACATATATATATACACACATATACACACACACACAGTGGGGAAAAAAAGTATTTAGTCAGCCACCAATTGTGCAAGTTCTCCCACTTAAAAAGATGAGAGAGGCCTGTAATTTTCATCATAGGTACACGTCAACTATGACAGACAAATTGAGAAAAAAATATACAGAAAATCACATTGTAGGATTTTTAATGAATTTATTTGCAAATTATGGTGGAAAATAAGTATTTGGTCACCTACAAACAAGCAAGATTTCTAGCTCTCACAGACCTGTAACTCCTCTGTCCTCCACTCGTTACCTGTATTAATGGCACCTGTTTGAACTTGTTATCAGTATAAAAGACACCTGTCCACAACCTCAAACAGTCACACTCCAAACTCCACTATGGCCAAAACCAAAGAGCTGTCAAAGGACACCAGAAACAAAATTGTAGACCTGCACCAGGCTGGGAAGACTGAATCTGCAATAGGTAAGCAGCTTGGTTTGAAGAAATCAACTGTGGGAGCAATTATTAGGAAATGGAAGACATACAAGACCACTGATAATCTCCCTCGATTTGGGGCTCCACGCAAGATCTCACCCCGTGGGGTCAAAATGATCACAAGAACGGTGAGCAAAAATCCCAGAACCACACGGGGGGACCTAGTGAATGACCTGCAGAGAGCTGGGACCAAAGTAACAAAGCCTACCATCAGTAACACACTACGCCGCCAGGGACTCAAATCCTGCAGTGCCAGACGTGTCCCCCTGCTTAAGCCAGAACATGTCCAGGCCCGTCTGATGTTTGCTAGAGTGCATTTGGATGATCCAGAAGAGGATTGGGAGAATGTCATATGGTCAGATGAAACCAAAATAGAACTTTTTGGTAAAAAACTCAACTCGTCGTGTTTGGAGGACAAAGAATGCTGAGTTGCATCCAAAGAACACCATACCTACTGTGAAGCATGGGGGTGGAAACATCATGCTTTGGGGCTGTTTTTCTGCAAAGGGACCAGGACGACTGATCCGTGTAAAGGAAAGAATGAATGGGGCCATGTATCGTGAGATTTTGAGTGAAAACCTCCTTCCATCAGCAAGGGCATTAAAGATGAAACGTGGCTGGGTCTTTCAGCATGACAATGATCCCAAACACACCGCCCGGGCAACGAAGGAGTGGCTTCGTAAGAAGCATTTCAAGGTCCTGGAGTGGCCTAGCCAGTCTCCAGATCTCAACCCCATAGAAAATCTTTGGAAGGAGTTGAAAGTCCGTGTTGCCCAGCGACAGCCCCAAAACATCACTGCTCTAGAGGAGATCTGCATGGAGGAATGGGCCAAAATACCAGCAACAGTGTGTGAAAACCTTGTGAAGACTTACAGAAAACGTTTGACCTGTGTCATTGCCAACAAAGGGTATATAACAAAGTATTGAGAAACTTTTGTTATTGACCAAATACTTATTTTCCACCATAATTTGCAAATAAATTCATTAAAAATCCTACAATGTGATTTTCTGTATATTTTTTTCTCAATTTGTCTGTCATAGTTGACGTGTACCTATGATGAAAATTACAGGCCTCTCTCATCTTTTTAAGTGGGAGAACTTGCACAATTGGTGGCTGACTAAATACTTTTTTCCCCCCACTGTATGTATGTATGTATGTATGTATGTATGTATGTATGTCAAATCAAATCAAATCAAATTGTATTGGTCACATGCGCCGAATACAACAGGTGCAGACATTACAGTGAAATGCTTACTTACAGCCCTTAACCAACAGTGCATTTATTTTAAACAAAAAAGTAAGAATAAAACAACAAAAAAGTGTTGAGAAAAAAAGAGCAGAAGTAAAAATAAAGTGACAGTAGGGAGGCTATATATACAATAGAATAAAGTGACAGTAGGGAGGCTATATATACAGGGGGGTACCGTTGCATAGTCAATGTGCGGGGGCACCGGCTAGTTGAGGTAGTTGAGGTAATATGTACATGTGGGTAGAGTTAAAGTGACTATGCATAAATACTTAACAGAGTAGCAGCAGCGTAAAAAGTATGGGGTGGGGGGGCAGTGCAAATAGTCCGGGTAGCCATGATTAGCTGTTCAGGAGTCTTATGGCTTGGGGGTAGAAGCTGTTGAGAAGTCTTTTGGACCTAGACTTGGCACTCCGGTACCGCTTGCCGTGCGGTAGCAGAGAGAACAGTCTATGACTAGGGTGACTGGAGTCTTTGACAATTTTGAGGGCCTTCCTCTGACACCGCCTGGTATAGAGGTCCTGGATGGCAGGGAGCTTTGCCCCTGTGATGTACTGGGCCGTACGCACTACCCTCTGTAGTGCCTTGCGGTCAGAGGCCAAGCAGTTGCCATACCAGGCGGTGATGCAACCAGTCAGGATGCTCTCGATGGTGCAGCTGTAGAATTTTTTGAGGATCTGAGGACCCATGCCAAATCTTTTTAGTCTCCTGAGGGGGAATAGGCTTTGTCGTGCCCTCTTCACGACTGTCTTGGTGTGTTTGGACCATGATAGTTCGTTGGTGATGTGGACACCAAGGAACTTGAAGCTCTCAACCTGTTCCACTACAGCCCCGTCGATGAGAATGGGGGCGTGCTCAGTCCTCTTTTTTTTCCTGTAGTCCACAATCATCTCCTTTGTCTTGGTCACGTTGAGGGAGAGGTTGTTGTCCTGGCACCACACGGCCAGATCTCTGACCTCCTCCCTATAGGCTGTCTCATCGTTGTCGGTGATCAGGCCTACCACTGTTGTGTCGTCGGCAAACTTAATGATGGTGTTGGAGTCGTGCCTGGCCATGCAGTCATGGGTGAACAGAGAGTACAGGAGGGGACTGAGCACGCACCCCTGAGGGGCCCCCGTGTTGAGGATCAGTGTGGCAGATGTGTTGTTACCTACCCTTACCACCTGGGGGCGGCCCGTCAGGAAGTCCAGGATCCAGTTGCAGAGGGAGGTGTTTAGTCCCAGGATCCTTAGCTTAGTGATGAGCTTTGAGGGCACTATGGTGTTGAATGCTGAGCTGTAGTCAATGAATAGCATTCTCACGTAGGTGTTCCTCTTGTCCAGGTGGGAAAGGGCAGTGTGGAGTGCGATAGAGATTGCATCATCTGTGGATCTGTTGGGGCGGTATGCAAATTGGAGTGGGTCTAGGGTTTCTGGGATTATGCTGTTGATGTGAGCCATGACCAGTCTTTCAAAGCACTTCATGGCTACAGACGTCAGTGCCACTATGTATGTATGTATGTATGTATGTATGTATGTATGTATATATATATATATACACATATATATACATATATATATATACACACATATATATATATATATACACACATATATATACACACACACACACACACATATATACATCGAAGAAAGAAAAATACATATTTGTTTGCTTTGTTACTTTATTTTTATTGAATACTTTTCACATTTGTATCTGTGCCATGCACTCTACACTGTCTCCTGTGCATGCTGCATTCATTTTTGCTGGAACTCCCATCCCACTTTCTGCTTTATAAATCAAACTGCAATTCCCTATTAGGCCATAATCATCCCTGCCTCTCAAGAGTAAGGATGTAATCTCTGTCTGTGGCAAACAGCTTTTCCCTGGATCTTTTCAAGAGGATCAGCGAGAGCAACAGAAAAGGAAACATTTTCTTCTCTCCTCTGAGCAGCTCTTCTTCTTTGGCCATGGTGTTCCTTGTGGCCAGGGCACAGGCCCTGCACCTCCACAAAGCTGAGGGTGACATCCATCACGGGTTCAGAAAACTCTTGTCTGTGCTGAACAAAGAGGGAGCCCCATATGCACGGAGCCTGGCTAAATGCCTGTACGGAGACCAGTCTTACCAGTTTGCTGAGGCATTTCTCAGTGAAACCAAGAAGTACTACAGTGCAGAGTTGGAGTCTGTCAACTTCAAGTCCAGTGCAGAGGCTGCTAGGATGAAAAACAGCTAGGTGGAGAAACATAGGGGAAAATCAAGAACCTGTTGGGAGGGGACTGTCAACTCTAACAAAAATAATGTTGGTGAATGCCATCTACTTCAAGAGCCAGCGGAAAGAGGAATCTGAGTAGGCCAATACCAGAGAAGCTCAGTTCAAAGTGCCAGATTCTGAAGATGCTCAGATCATTCCCATCGTAGGGCATGCTCATCAAGCTCCCTGATGAGGGCTGGAAAAGCTGGAGTTTCACCACTGGGGTGGAGAAGCTGAAGAAGAATCTCATACATAAGAACTTTGCGGCGTGGACGGGGCCAGAAAGGATGCAGTACATGAAGGTAAGGGGTAAATCAGCCAAAATGTAAGTTGGAGGAGACCTACGACCTGAATGTAGTTTTGTCTAGCATGGGCATAGTGGACGCCTTCAACTCATCCAGGAGTGATTTCTCAGGCATGTCGCCCAACGACGACCTGGAGTTGTCTGATGTAGTGCACAAGGCCTTTATAGAGGTGAACGAGATGGGCACCGAGGCAGCTGCCGCCACCGCCAGCATACTTGTAGAATATGACTTATATGAATTACCTGCACTCCAGATCACCAAATCAGCCAATAGATGGTATGGCCATACTACTTTAGAACACATCCATCTGTTTATATCGTCATGGGCTCCCAAGTGGGGCAGTGGTCTAAGGCACTGCATCTCAGTGCTTGAGGGGTCACTACAGACCCCCTGGTTTGATTCCAGGCTGTATCACAACCGGCCGTGATTGGGAGTCCCATAGGGTGGCGCACAATTGGCCCAGCGTTGTCCGGGTTTGGCCGGTGTAGGCCGTCATTGTAAATAAGATTTTGTTCTTAACTGACTTGCCTAGTTAAATAAAGGTAAAATATATGACAAAGTATAGATTTTGCTTAGATGTGCTCAATTTAAACAGTGTACCAAATTATTCACCTCTGTTTCTCCTTCAAGTACCATGTCGTAATCTTGTTTCATTTTATCGTTATAACATTTGTTCAAAAAAATATTGTTCAACACTGTTAATAATAGGAATTTGTGATGATATGCATGCAATGCATTTAGCCTCACTATGAAATAGTCAGAGTTTCCCTAGTTTGTAGTGTCCCCATAGCCAGGTCCCAGATCGGTTTGTTCTTGCCAACTCCATTGCTCATTGTCAAAACAGTGTCATAACAATGAGTGATACAGAGTTGGAATGTGGTCCTCTGTAGCTCAGCTGGTAGAGCACGGCGCTTGTAACGCCAAGGTAGTGGGTTCGATCCCCGGGACCACCCATACACAAAAAATGTATGCACCCACGACTGTAAGTCGCTTTGGATAAAAGCGTCTGCTAAAAATGGCATATTATTATTATTATTATTCTTATTATAGCACAAACAGACTGGTACTCAGTCTAGTTTGTTTCCCAATCATCCATCACATGACTGAGTTGTGTTATGTCTGTGTAACCTGCCTTTTGTCTTCTCGATATGAACACATTTAACTTAAAACATTTCTGTCAATTCTGCATTTCTTCTGTTTTGCTGTTAACCGCAAGCAACAAGTCCACTAAAATCAAATGGAATGATCAACTTCCCACAACTTTGTGATCATGAATTCACTCACATGAATTCTGGTGTGTGTTTGTGTGTTAATGTAATATCATATTCTTAAAATGAAGCAACTGTACACTGAAAAGTACAAGCTTAAGTGTCATGGTACAATACATTTGGCTCTGGTCCCTTCAATACATCAATTCTGAATTACATGTGTCCCTGAAACAAATGATAAACAATTAAAATATATATTTTTGTAAATAATACCTCATTTTCCAGTAAGTGTCCTCGTTTTGGACAGGCAGAGTCTGGACAGCTAATAGCAGTTTCAAGGCCCTCTTTGATCAGGAGTTCCACATACTGCTTCAGGCACTGAAATAAAAACCAAGAGTATAACATTGACCTCATTCTTTGGCCATGCAGTCAATCAGAAAATGTGCAGGCACACTGCAGGGATGGGCAACTCCAGTCCTCGGGGCAAAAGTGCAACACCAATCAGGCCCCCCGAGGACTGGAGTTTCCCCATCCCTGGCATACTGTTTGGTGAGACAACCAATTCCAAATGTGCTTCTCCCCCTCTGAACCCCGTAGTAGAAGTTCTCTGCTTTTGGCATTAACTATTCATTCTGCTATCTATTACTGGTTTATTGAGCGTGTCTGGTTAGCTGAAGAGAAGCATGCTAACCACATAACATCCCAAATGGAAGTATTTTCAATGAATGAGACAGTGATAGAGGGACTTATGTCATGCAATAAAATGCAAATTAATTACTTTAAAATCATACAATGTGATTTTCAGAATTTTTAGATTCTGTCTCTCACAGTTGAAGTGTACCTATGATAAAAATTACAGACCTCTACATGCTTTGTAAGTAGGAAAACCTGCAAAATCGGCAGTGTATCAAATACTTGTTCTCCCCACTGTACATACACACATATATACACACACATATACACACATATATACACACACACACACAGTACCAGTCAAAAGTTGGGACACACCTACTCATTCAACTGTTTTTCTTTATTTTTACTATTTTCTACATTGTAGAATAATAGTGAAGACATTACAACTATGACAATTGGCCCAGCGTCGTCCAGGTTTGGCCGGTGTAGGCCGTCATTGTAAATAAGAATTTGTTCTTAACTGACTTGCCTAGTTAAATAAAGGTTAAAAAAAATAGTCACCTGGAATGCATTTCAATTAACAGGTGTGCCTTGTTAAAAGATAATTTGTGGAATTTATTTCCTTCTTAATGCGTTTGAGCCAATCAGTTGTGTTGTGACAAGGTAGGGGGGTATACAGAAGATAGCCCACAGGGTCGAATTGCTGCAAAGAAACCACTAGAAGAGACTTGCTTGGGCCAAGAAACACAAGCAATGGACATTAGACCGGTGGAAATCTGTCCTTTGGTCTGATCAATCCAAATTTGAGATTTTTGGATGCAACCACCGTGTCTTTGTGAGATGCAGAGTATGTGAACGGATGATCTCTGCATGTGTGGTTCCCACCGTGAAGCATGGAGGAGGTGGTGTGATGGTGTGGGGGTGCTTTGCTGGTGACACTATCAGTGATTTATTTAGAATTCAAGGCACACTTAACCAACATCGCTACCACAGCATTCTGCAGCAATACGCCATCCCATCTGGTTTGCGCTTAGTGGGACTATCATTTGCTTTTCAACAGGACAATGTCCCAATACACACCTCCAAGCTGTGTAAGGGCTATTTTACCAAGAAGGAGAGTGATGGAGTGCTGCATCAGATGACCTAGCCTCCACAATCACCCGACCTCAACCCAACTGAGATGGTTTGGGATGAGTCGGACCGCAGAGTGAAGGAAAAGCAGCCAACAAGTGCTCAGCATATGTGGCAACTCCTTCAAGACTGTTGGAAAAGCATTCCTCATGAAGCTGGTTGAGAGAATGCCAAGAGTGTGCAAAGCGTCATCAAGGCAAAGGGTGGCTTCTTTGAAGAATCTAAAATATATTTTGATTTGTTTAACACTTTTTTGGTCACTACATGATTCCATGTGTGTTTCTACAATGTAGAAAATAGTAAAAATAAAGAAAAACCCTTGAATGAGTAGGTGTGTCCAGACTTTTGACTGGTACTATAACATACACACAGTGAGGGAAAAAAGTATTTGATCCCCTGCTGATTTTGCCCACTGACAAAGAAATAATCAGTCTATAATTTTAATGGTAGGTTTATTTGAACAGTGAGAGACAGAATAACAACAAACAAATCCTGAAAAACGCATGTCAAAATGTTATAAATTGATTTGCATTTTAATGAGGGAAATAAGTATTTGACCCCCTCTCAATCAGAAAGATTTCTGGCTCCCAGGTGTCTTTTATACAAGTAACGAGTTGAGATTAGGAGCACACTCTTAAAGGGAGTGCTCCTAATCTCAGCTTGTTACTTGTATAAAAAGACACCTGTCCACAGAAGCAATCAATCAGTCAGATTCCAAACTCTCCACCATGGCCAAGACCAAAGAGCTCTCCAAGGATGTCATGGACAAGATTGTAGACCTACACAAGGCTGGAATGGGCTACAAGACCATCGCCAAGCAGCTTGGTGAGAAGGTGACAACAGTTGGTGCGATTATTCGCAAATGGAACAAACACAAAATAACTGTCAATCTCTCAAGGCAGCTAGGACCATAGTCACCAAGAAAACAATTGGTAACACACTACGCCATGAAGGACTGAAATCCTGCAGCGCCCGCAAGGTCCCCCTGCTCAAGAAAGCACATATAAAGGCCAGTCTGAAGTTTGCCAATGAACATCTGAATGATTCAGAGGAGAACTGGGTGAAAGTTTTGTGGTCAGATGAGACCAAAATTGAGCTCTTTGGCATCAACTCAACTCGCCGTGTTTGGAGGAGGAGGAATGCTGCCTATGACCCCAAGAACACCATCCCCACAGTCAAACATGGAGGTGGAAACATTATGCTTTGGGGGGGGGGGGGGGGGGGGGGGGGGGGGGTTTCTGCTAAGGGGACAGGACAACTTCACCACATCAAAAGGGACGATGGACGGGGCCATGTACCGTCAAATCTTGGGTGAGAACCTCCTTCCCTCAGCCAGGGCATTGAAAATGGGTCGTGGATGGGTATTCCAGCATGACAAGGACCCAAAACACACAGCCAAGGCAACAAAGGAGTGGCTCAAGAAGAAGCACATTAAGGTCCTGGAGTGGCCTAGCCAGTCTCCAGACCTTAATCCCATAGAAAATCTGTGGAGGGAGCTGAAGGTTCGATTTGCCAAACGTCAGCCTCAAAACCTTAATGACTTGGAGAAGATCTGCAAAGAGGAGTGGGACAAAATCCCTCCTGAGATGTGTGCAAACCTGGTGGCCAACTACAAGAAACATCTGACCTCTGTGATTGCCAACAAGGGTTTTGCCACAAAGTACTAAGTCATGTTTTGCAGAGGGGTCAAATACTTATTTCCCTCATTAAAATGCAAATCAATTTATAACATTTTGACATGCGTTTTTCAGGATTTCTTTGTTGTTATTCTGTCTCTCACTGTTCAAATAAATCTACCATTAAAATTATAGACTGATCATGTCTTTGTCAGTGGGCAAACACACAAAATCAGCAGGGGATCAAATACTTTTTTCCCTAACTGTACCTGCCTATTCCAGTTAGCCACAGTCACTATGGTGCACACAGAGGACATATTGACAAGATGGGGAACAGACGATGACAGGGCACTCACCAGTGTACAGAAGACACATCGACACTGAGTGATGGTGGTCATCTGCTCCAGGGGAAACTCTCCAAGGCACAGTTTGCAGGAGACCAGGGGGTCCAGGGTCAGGTCCCAGGTGGGCCGATACCTGGCTGTGGTCATCTTGTCCCGCACAGAGCTGAGAGCGAGAGAGAGGAGACATGGTTAAAAAAACATTTCCTGAGATGGATCCCAGAATTTGATGCTCTTCCATCTCTGCAACTGGTGTTTTTATAATATATTTACAATGCAGGATGGCTAATGTATGTCATTTCACAGACAAAAGGAAAACTGATGAGATTCACAACGTGTGAATGAAGATAGCTCAGTAATGAGCGTGTCTACATGATCTGTCCCCATGTCCAAGACATGCATTTATTTGCGGTTTCATTACGCATTGGCCAAAAAGGCAGTATGACAACAGCTCTTTGCCTAAACGCCCCTTGTCAGTAACTATCACTTCCCTTCTGGATGCTCTCAGACAGAGAACAAATACATCTCTAAACAGCTACTCCTGCAGCGAGCGTCATGTTGCTTTTTGCCCCGTGATAAAAGCAGTCGTATCAAAAGAACACTTTCCCTTCGCTGTCATCTCCTCTCTCTTTTCTATTTCGGAGAAAGGGGTTTATTTTGGGCCTTCTCAACTATGATTCTAACTGCCTTTCTTCCACCCCGGCTGAGAGTGGAGGAGAGGAGAGAAAGAGACAGTCACTTAATGTCTGAGTGTTTCCAGGAACTGCCCCCCGTGCAGGCAATGTCAACACTGTCAAACTCTCCCATCGCTGCTAGGCAACTGGGGAGAGACGAGGAAAAGAAGAAGGAAGGGCAGATGCTTAGAGCTCACTGCTCAGACTACTGAAAGCTAACACAATAGCTTCCCTCTCAGACACCAAAAGTGGAAGGAGGCGGAAAGGAAGAGGGGCTGGATAACTAATATAAAATGCACCGCGTCTGTTAAATGTATATAGTATGTATAAGCTGGAAGTAGAAGCCTAAGATTTGTTGTCCATTAGTTCACTTCAATTAGGGGAGGGGTGGTAGGGTTAGGGCTAAATAATAAAGAAGGAAAATACATGGGGGATTGGAAATGATGCAGACAATTACATTGATAGAACCCACAATCTGCAATATTAAAGCTGATCTACCCCCTAAAAAAATACAAAAAGGAGGGGCTACTGTAGGGACTGAGAATGAGTCAACATTGGCCCAACGCTGTCTACACATGCTGCAGGGAGAGAACATGTCCTGACATGCCTAGTTGACAACACACTGGCCAGTGGAACTCGTTTATAGGAACAGTGTTGTTCATCTGGTTGTGTCAAGGTCAACGTGATGCATGGGGAGTCACTAAACAGACAACAGACAGGGAGACAGACAAGGAGAAGAGTTCTGGGAATCATGTGTGGTCAATTATTAAACTAGTGACATAGCAACTGAAATGGGCACCTCCTGACTATTAAGTGATTCCCCTTGATTTGTGGACTCTAGTCTTCCCTTCAGCGGAGGCATGCAGGTTGAGGGGGCACAAGAGTGGCAGAAAGAGAGAGAGGGGGGGAGAGGGCGCGTGAGGAGAGCCTCCTATCCATTAGTGCAGTACACTGGGCCTGCTTTCATCAGGGCAGGCAGTGAGAGGCTAGCCAGGAGAGCTAAAAGCCAGTCTACTCTACACCAACCAGACGTGCCAAGACAAGCCTCACTGGCTGCTGAGTGAAAACCTGCCAGGGCCAGCCATCACAGCAGCAAGTGGAATCACATTAGCACTATAGATCGCCATAGGATTGATGAAATGGTATGTGCATTATAGAGTCAACGAAGACAAATGAGAGATTCTCTAAGGCGAGCCGGATGAGAGGAGAGAGCAGAGTTTTCATGACAATGGGTGGTGCAATTCGAAAGGGAGCGCTCCCACCGCTGAATTATTGCCCAGCGAGACACACACCTGCTTTTAAAAATAGACAGACTGCATGTCTGGCATGACACATTATGGCACCAATCAATATGCAGGAGTGTCGTAAGTCAACATGGTTAACCACGGCTACAGACAAGGAAGTTTACTTTCTTATATTATAGATTAACTAACAAATGAGTGGGGGTGCCGGAGTCTGGTCTGCAGGAGTTGCAGTCTAAGCTTCCGACCACATACAGTAATGCTTCCTGGCGACGAGGGTTAGAGCCTGTCAATAACAATACAAATATGTAAAAGGGGGGTTGGAATTCTGAGCTCTTTAAAAAAATAAAAACTGTGTGTGTGTGTGTACATTATGTAGTATCCTAGGGGGGATTTGAGACCAGTTCTAGCATTCTGTTGCTATAACTGCACAGAATGTATACATCTGTTTACGAATGTACAACGTTGAACTATTCCATAACACGTGAGCAACCTAGATAGTGAATGTGTACAGTAGAGAGTAGGGCTGGACAGAAAGTGGGGCAGTGGTCCTTTCTGAGGAGCTAGCCAAGTAACTATAAATGGACATATCCTGTATACTACAGTATGATGAACTACAGTATACCTACTGTCTCTACATAATTCATCTTACAGAAGAAAATGGGCCATCTTCACATGTATAGTCCATGACCCGGACTATGATACGCAGAAATATACAGTGCCTTCAGAAAGTATTCACACCCCTTTTCCACATTTTGTTGTGTTACAGCCGGAATTTAAAATGGATTAAATTGATATTTTGTGTCACTGATCTACACACTATAGCCCATAATGTCAAAGTGGAAATAAGTTTAGAACAATTTACAAATTAAATAAAAAATGTACATGTCTTGAGTCAAGAAGTATTCAACCCCTTTATGGAATACCTAAATATGTTCAGGAGTAAGACATTTTTGACAAGTCACATAATAAGTTGCATGGACTCAGTGTGCAATAATTGTGTTTAACATGATTTTTGAATGACTACCTCATCTATGTACTCCACACATACAACTATTTGTAAGGTCCCCTCAGTCGAGCAGTGAATTTCAAACAAAGATTCAACCACACAGACCAGGGAGGTTTTCCAATGCCTCGCAAAGAAGGGCACCTATTGGGTAAAATGATGGGTAAAAATAAAATAAAAAGCAGACATTGAGAATCCCTTTGAGCATGTAGAAGTTATGAATTACACTTTGGATGGTGTATTAATACACCGTCACTGCAAAGATACAGGCGTCCTTCCTAACTCAGTTGCCGGAGAGGAAGGAAACCGCACAGGGATTTCACCATGAAGCCAATGGTGACTTTAAAACAGTTACAGAGTTGAATGGCTGCGATAGGAGAAAACTGAGGATGGATCAAACACATTGTAGTTACTCCACAATATTAACCTACAGTGGGGAGAACAAGTATTTGATACACTGCCGATTTTGCAGGTTTTCCTACTTACAAAGCATGTAGAGGTCTGTAATTTTTATCATAGGTACACTTCAACTGTGAGAGACGGAATCTAAAACAACAATCCAGAAAATCACATTGTATGATTTTTAAGTAATTAAATTGCATTTTATTGCATGACATAAGTATTTGATCACCTACCAACCAGTCAGAATTCCAGCTCTCACAGACCTGTTAGTTTTTCTTTAAGAAGCCCTCCTGTTCTCCACTCATTACCTGTATTAACTGCACCTGTTTGAACTCGTTACCTGTATAAAAGACACCTGTCCACACACTCAATCAAACAGACTCCAACCTCTCCACAATGGCCAAGACCAGAGAGCTGTGCACGGACATCAGGGATAAAATTGTAGACCTGCACAAGGCTGGGATGGGCTACAGGACAACAGGCAAGCAGCTTGGTGAGAAGGCAACAACTGTTGGCGCAATTATTAGAAAATGGAAGAAGTTCAAGATGACGGTCAATCACCCTCGGTCTGGGGCTCCATGCAAGATCTCACCTCGTGGGGCATCAATGATCATGAGGAAGGTGAGGGATCAGCCCAGAACTACACGGCAGGACCTGGTCAATGACCTGAAGAGAGCTGGGACCACAATCTCAAAGAAAACCATTAGTAACACACTACGCCGTCATGGATTAAAATCATGCAGCGCAGGCAAGTTCCCCCTGCTCAAGCCAGCGCATGTCCAGGCCCGTCTGAAGTTTGCCAATGACCATCTGGATGATCCAGAGGAGGAATGGGAGAAGGTCATGTGGTCTGATGAGACAAAAATATGGCTTTTTGGTCTAAACTCCACTCGCCGTGTTTGGAGGAAGAAGAAGGATGAGTACAACCCCAAGAACACCATCCCAACCGTGAAGCATGGAGGTGGAAACATCATTCTTTGGGGATGCTTTTCTGCAAAGGGGACAGGACGACTGCACCGTATTGAGGGGAGGATGGATGGGACCATGTATCGCGAGATCTTGGCCAACAACCTCCTTCCCTCAGTAAGAGCATTGAAGATGGGTCGTGGCTGGGTCTTCCAGCATGACAATGACCCGAAACACACAGCCAGGGCAATTAAGGAGTGGCTCCGTAAGAAGCATCTCAAGGTCCTGGAGTGGCCTAGCCAGTCTCCAGACCTGAACCCAATAGAAAATCTTTGGAGGGAGCTGAAAGTCCGTATTGCCCAGCGACAGCCCCGAAACCTGAAGGATCTGGAGAAGGTCTGTATGGAGGAGTGGGCCAAAATCCCTGCTGCAGTGTCTGCAAACCTGGTCAAGACCTACAGGAAACGTATGATCTCTGTAATTGCAAACAAAGGTTTCTGTACCAAATATTAAACTCTGCTTTTCTGATGTATCAAATACTTATGTCATGCAATAAAATGCAAATTAATTACTTACTTTTTGTTTTAGATTCCATCTCTCACAGTTGAAGTGTACCTATGATAAAAATTACAGACCTCTACATGCTTTGTAAGTAGGAAAACCTGCAAAATCGGCAGTGTATCAAATACTTGTTCTCCCCACTGTGCATACATACATGGATTGTTATTGTTCCCACTGTTCGAAAGTATAAATTATAGGAGGATTGGTTTTAGAGATCGCCTACCAAAACATTACAATACATTCAGTTTCTTGCTACTGAATTCATATTCAATATATCAATTACAGACAAAACACAATACATTTGATGTAGGCCCACCGACTGGAAGTCCCTTTAAGTCCTAACTAAGATATTTGTCACAGTTTACTTTTTATAAATAATATAATAATATGCCATTTAGCAGACGCTTTTATCCAAAGCGACTTACAGTCATGCGTGCATACATGTTTGTGTATGGGTGGTCCCGGGGATCGAACCCACTACCTTGGCGTTACAAGCGCCGTGCTCTACCAGCTGAGCTACAGGTTCGGCAAACAAATCGTTAGTCATGTTTTGACTTTACTTTCTCCCACTCTCAAAAAATACTAAAATTAAAGGGGATAACAGCGGCTGGATTATGCCGAGTTTTCAAGCATGTTCAGGCTTTCCCATGCTGGGAGAGTCGTGGCCGTGGTCCCAGCTTGAGGACAGGTCAAAAGTCAATGTGCCTCTCCTCTGTGAATTCATGCAACTGGATGGCAGTCCACATTGACTGTAGGATATATTTAGTTCAGTTTAGTTAAATTATGACCAGTATTGTGTTTCTGTTGATATTTTTGATTTCTGTAAATATATTGTACTTCATAGATATGCATTGTATTTCTGTAGATACAATACAAATAAAATTGCAAGATCAGGAAGGGAGTTGAAGTCGCAGTGAGGTTTCAGTGTTTGACCCAGGTAGCCGAATTACCATGGACTGACGTGTATAGGAGTTGCTCACTCCTAGAGCTAGGTATAAACTAGGTATGTGAACACAACCTCCAGCCATGTAATAATTCCTTTCACTTAGTTGATAGTTATATTGTTACATTGTTCTGTGCATTCAAAAGCAGTGATAAACACTGGATCTGTATGGATCAAAGAACTGCATAGTATTCACTGCTAGGACGTCACTATCCACATATTGCAAATGTGAAAAGAAAGAAGCCTGTACAGAATTCCAAAAACATGCATCCTGTTTGCAATAAGGCACTAAAGTAAAACTGCAAATATTTGGCAAAGAAATGAAATGTATGTCCTGAATACAAAGCGTTATGTTTGGAGCAAATACAACACGTCACTGAGAACCACTTCATATTTTCAAGCATGGTTGTGGCTGCATCATGTTATGGGTATGCTGGTCATCGGCAAGGCCTAGGGACTTTTTTTGGGGATAAAAAGAAGCAGAATAGAGCTAAGCAGACACTGGGAGACATATTCACCTTTCAGCATGATAATAACCTAAAACACAAGCCCAAATATACACTGGAGTTGCTTCCCTAGACAACATAGACAAGTTTGAAAATATATGGCAATACTTGAAAATGTCTGTCTAGCAATGATCAACAACCAACTTGACAGAGCTTGAATAATGTGGAAAGACTGTACAATACAGGTGTGCAGATTTCTTAGAGACTAACCCAGAAAGACTTGCAACTGCCAAAAGGTATTGACTAAACGGTGTGAATACTTATGTAAATGTGATATTTCTGTATTTAATTATTTTGCAAAAATTTCTAAAAACATGTTTTCACTTTGTCATTACGGGATATTGTGTGTAGATGGGTAAAAAAAAAAAAAAGTAATTCATTTTGAATTCAGGCTGTAACAACAAAATGTGGAATAAGTCAAGGGGTATGAATACTTTCTGAAGGCATTGTACACTTCATCATATAGGCCTAGACATTATATCATAGAGGCCTACACCTAATCATTAGGGTTTTGGGGGAAAATTGATAGTTACATGTCGGGATATTATTTTGATATATCATATCGTTTTGACAGTATTCTTTTTACGCTAGTTGGCTGTACCTGCACAGAAACGTCTGTTTTTTTTCATTCACAGCTTGTTCTACAATTTGTTTTCAGCACTTTATTTTGATGACTGATCAAAACTATTTTTCTCATGTCTCTCTCTTGTCCCTCTGCAGCATACATATGGTGAGCAATGTTTGGAACATCAAATCACAATAAAATCACAGTATCGAATCGCAATACATCGTATCGGCACCTACAGCGCATTCGGAAAGTATTTCACTTTGTTACCTTACAGCCTTATTCTAAAAAGGATTCAAAAAAAATTTGTCAATCTACACACAATACCCCATAATGACAAAGCAAAAACAGTTTAGACATTTTTGCAAATTTATAAAAAAATTATAAAACTGAAATATTACATTTACATAAAAGTATTCAGACCCTTTACTCAGTACTTTGTTGAAGCACCTTTGGCAGTGATTACAGCCTCAAGTCTTTTTGGGTATGACGCTACAAGCTTGGCACGCCTGTATTTGGGGAGTTTCTCCCATTCTTCTCTGCAGATCCTCTCAAGCTTGGATGGGGAGCGTCGCCGCACAGCTATTTTCAGGTCTCCCCAGAGATGTTCGATGAGGTTAAAGTCCGGGCTCTGGCTGGGCCACTCAAGGACATTCAGAGACTTGTCCCGAAGGCCACTCCTATGTTGTCTTGGCTGTGTGCTTATGGTCATTGTCCTGTTGGAAGGTGAACCTTCACCACATTCGGAGGTCCTGAGCGCTCTGGAGCAGGTTTTCATCAAGGATCTCTGTACTTTGCTCTGTTAATCTTTCCCTTGATCCTGACTAGTCGCCCAGTCCCTGCCACTGAAAAACATCCTCACAGCATGATGCTGCCAACACCATGCTTCACCGTAGAGATGGTGCCAGGTTTCCTACAGACGTGACGCTTGGCATTCAGGCCAAAGAGTTCAATCTTGGTTTCATCAGACCAGAGAATCTTGTTTCTCATGGTCTGAGAGTCCTTTAGGTGCCTTTTGGCAAACTCCAAGCAGGTGGTCAGGTGCCTTTTACTGAGGAGTTGGCTTCCATCTGGACACTCTACCATAAAGTTCTGATTGGTGGAGTGCTGCAGAGATGGTTGTCCTTTTGGCAGGTTCACCCATCTCCACAGAGGAACACTGGAGCTCTGTCAGTGTGACCATCGGGTTCTTGGTCACCTCCCTGACCAAGGCCCTTCTCCCCCGATTGCTCAGTTTGGCCAGGCGGCCAGCTCTAGGAAGAGTCTTGGTGGTTCCAAACTTCTTCCATTTAAGAATGATGGAGGCCACTGGGTTCTTGGGGACCTTCAATGCTGCAGAAATAGTTTGGTACCCTTCCCCCAGATCTGTACCGACACAATCCTGTCTTGGAGCTCTACGGACAATTCCTTCGAACTCATGGCTTGGTTTTTGCCCTGATATGCACTGTCAACTGTGGGACCTTATATAGACAGGTGTGTGCGCCTTTCCAAATCATGTCCAAACAATTGAATTTACCACAGCTGGACTCCAGTCAAGTTGTAGGAACATCAAGGACGATCAATGGAAACAGGATGCACCTGAGCTCAATTTCGAGTCTCATTGCAAAGGGTCTGAATACTTATGTATATAAGGCGTCTGTTTTTTATTTGTAATACATTTGCAAACATTTCAAAAAACCTGTTTTCGCATTGTCATTAATGGGGTATTGTGTGTAGATTGATGAGGATTCATATTTATTTCATCCATTTTAGATTCACGCTGTAACGTAACAAAATGTGGAACAAGGGAAGGGGTCTGAATACTTTCCGAATGCACTGTAAGTATCATGATAATATCATATTGTGAGGTCCCTGGCAATTCCCAGTCCTACTAGTCATCATAAAGGCCTAGTCATCATAAAGGCCTAGACCTAGTCATCATAAAGGCCTAGACCTAGTCATCATAAAGGCCTAGACATCATAAAGACCTAGTCATCATAAAGGCCTAGACCTAGTCATCATAAAGGCCTAGACATCATAAAGGCCTAGACCTAGTCATCATAAAGGCCTAGTCATCATAAAGGCCTAGACCTAGTCTTCATAAAGGCCTAGACATCATAAAGGCCTAGTCATCATAAAGGCCTAGACCTAGTCATCATAAAGGCCTAGACATCATAAAGGCCTAGACCTAGTCATCATAAAGGCCTAGACATGATAAAGGCCTAGACCTAGTCATCATAAAGGCCTAGACATCATAAAGGCCTAGTCATCATAAAGGCCTAGACCTAGTCATCATAAAGGCCTAGACATCATAAAGGCCTAGACCTAGTCATCATAAAGGCCTAGACATCATAAAGGCCTAGACCTAGTCATCATAAAGGCCTAGACATCATAAAGGCCTAGACCTAGTCATCATAAAGGCCTAGACATCATAAAGGCCTAGTCATCATAAAGGCCTAGACCTAGTCATCATAAAGGCCTAGACCTAGTCATCATAAAGGCCTAGACCTAGTCATCATAAAGGCCTAGACCTAGTCATCATAAAGGCCTAGACCTAGTCATCATAAAGGCCTAGACCTAGTCATCATAAAGGCCTAGACAAGCCTCCCGTCCCACTCCCCATCTGTCACTGCACCCTACCGCTCAAATGACACCATAGCCGAGCTCTGCTTTAAATCGATGTGATAAGCACTGCCATCACTCGTTAATATCAATATCCAACGCCTCCTCGGCTGCGATACAGACAGATTGGTCAAGAACGGCTCTTATTTGAACCTGGGTCTAGCAGCTCTCTCTGTAATTACATAATGTCATATCAAACTGGATTACGTAAGATCTATTTATACACTACCTAGGCTCCTCTCGGAGCAGATGCACTCTACTAGGGATGGGCAAGGTTAACCAAATATTTAGATAGCAGAACGGACGTTAGTGTTCAATCACCTGAGTGAGTTAATTTTAGATTTTTTTAGGCCTATTTTAACAATGAAAAAGCTTTCAATTAAATTATTAATGTGACATTTGTACCTACAAGGACATACCGTGACATTTGAAACACTTAATTTAATAAAACCAACTTTTGAATGTAGTTTTTATAACGGTGCGTTGAGCTACTGCTGCACATTGAGCCCTCCAGGCTGCCTTGACATCGGTATGCTATTTCCCCCCACTTTAAATAGTAATTACAGATGCAGTATGAAAAATGTATGCACTCACTAAGTTGCTCTGGATAAGAGCGTCTGCTAAATGACTAAAATGTAAAATGTAATGCTCATCTAACAAAGTCTCCACAATACCTGACACCGATCAATGCAAAACGTCACCAGAAAATATATTTTTTGTAACAATCAATTCTATCATGGCAAAAATCAGACTTCTCTTTTGCTGTTGCTACTAGAGAAAAAGCTGAAAAGCAGCATGTCTGCTGTTAATCTCTACCATGTGCATTTGCGTCATTCTGATTGCTATTGACTCTCAACCAATTAATTTTATCAGAAGAAATGTCATTATTTGAATAGTAAAATAATGTAAAATGCCCATCTCTACACTCTACTGTGTTCCACACTCCAAAATGCAGGTTCCCGTTTGTGAAGCGGCCAAACCACAAGCCGTCCTTGTGTGTTAGTGCAAAATGCAGGGGATGTGATGGTGGATAGTGTTGACCTTTCTCAAAGAGACCAAAGTGCTGTCAAACAACTCTGATGACTTGTCCCTGGTCAATTCAACCTTTGAAAGCAAGAAACCTTTTTTGAAGACACAAAAATAAACAAAAATATATATTTTTTAAATGGGTCAGAGATGTGATACAATTGCTGCTGGAAGTGCTTCCTGCTCAAGTGAACTCTGGAGCAGTGTATGGAAGATGCATTTAATCCTGTGAGGAAAGCTGTCATTCTGAGGAGAGTTATTCATTGTCTTCCACTGTGGAGGGGATGGTGAAGAGACAACTCAAGGTTGGTGTGCATTCAGTCGGAAGGGATATGAATGGCAGTTGAAATGGTTGGAACCAGAGCATGTGAGCGGAGTGGAGCGGGAGCGAGCGGGCGGATTTTGGACAGAGCGCAGAGCTGCATTTTTAAAAGGACGGAGCGTCGCCCTATGTCCCGCTCCAATTTCGCTCGCTCACACCACGAGTCTGAAGCATGCTCAAGCCTGACCCAGAATCCATCTGTGTCTTGCACAGTCATCAACAGTCAAAACTCGGCTCAATAATGGAGTTCACCAAGTACTACAAAAAGGAAAATGAGAAGTCATACAGGTGTACTATTAATATAAAACGAACTAACAATGATAATGTGCTACAAGAAAAAGAATGTGGTGACATCGTTTCAGTCAGTAAAGATTCATTTTGGAATCTAAAAAGACATCTCTCGAAAACACGAAAGTGTGCTACGTGAACACGCTGGGAAGAAAGCAAAAGGTAAATATAGCCTAATATTCAAATAAATTCGTTTTGTTATTCAAAGTAGGCCTAATATATCGTTCGTTTAATTTAATTTGTGTCGTCCATGGATTTGTATTTTATAGAGCGAGAGGAGCAGCAGCAGCAACAAGAGAAAACGGTTGAGGAATTCAAAAGTTTCTTCAATGCACACAAAGGCCCAACCATAACAAGGGAGAAAAAAAGAGAGTTGGATGTAGCATTTTAAAAAATGATTTACCATGATTATGAACCGCTGAGTAAAGGAGAACGCAAAGGGATGCAACACTTTGCCAGCGCAGCTCAACCGGGCTACACCCCCCCATGCTACAACACCGTACGGGACACGCTCATGCCACATGCCCTGGAAGAGATGGAAGACCTACTAAAAAATGGTGATGGGCTCGTTCTGTCAGTGGACATTTGGACCAGTAGAAGAGGGCACCGCTTCCTTGGCATCGTGGCCAGTTTCATTGATGGGACGTTCCGGGGGCACACGGTTTTGTTGGGCTGTGAGCACATACAGGGCACCATACCGCAGATATATTTACCAAAAGTATGAAAGTGTACTGAAATATTGGAACGTGCAACGACATGTGATTTGGGTCGTCACTGACAGTGCCAGCAACATGATCAAGGCGTTTAAACTCCTCCCTGGCACTGAAGAGGAGGCGGAGAGTGAAGTGACCGCGGATGCCTGCAGCAGCGCAGAACATGAAGAGGAGGATGAGGCACCACCTGCGCCGTCGCAAGTCCATGTGGAAGTGATAACCACTAATGTAGGAAACTATGATAAATCAATACTTTACTGTGTCAAATTTACATCTGAGGTGCCCCATTCACATGATTCAGCTGGCGATCAAAGACGCCGTTAACGAGCACGACAACATTAATAGGCTGATAGTGAAAGTCGGGCACCTGGTGAAAAGTGTATGCAAGAGCACCCTGAACACAGAGGAAACCGACCAATTAGGTGTCCGCCCCACAAATGCCTGCGCCACTCGATGGAGCAGCAAGCTGCGGATGATTCAGTCGTTCATCCGGTTGTTCCAAAAAGACCCGTTATGGCAAAACAAACTCAAGTCTAATGTTGCTAACATCACCCTGAATCAAGTACAGCAGCTGACGCACCTTGTCAGTGTACTGACACCACTGGCAGACCTCACAGACAAAATGCAGAAGGAGCTGGGAAACCTGGGGATGATCCTCCCTGCTGTCACAGAAATCAAATCCCTGCTCACCGATGACACTCACGCTGCACTTCCAATGGGCATCGCTGCTTTTGCAGAAACATTGGCAAACAACGTGTCAATTCGGTATGGAATATACTATACTGATAAACATCTCATTTTTTTCCTTTTTTGGAGCGAGCGGGGGGGCGATTTGAGTGGAGCGCGATGCAAACTGCGTTGAGCGATAATGAGCGGACTGGCCTGATGTGGCTTTGAGCGGGGGGAGCGGAGGGGTGAACAGCTCCGTGAGCGAGGAGCTGAGATTCTCACCGCTCCACTCCGCTCATATGCTCTGGTTGGAACCATGGTGATGACCCAACCTTCAGGGAAATGGTTTCACACAAATATTCCTATGGTGAAATCATAATAAGTTTTTTTTTGCTCTCTATGCAAATTCAAAGCTCAAGGACCATATCAATGAAGCACTAAGAAGACCATAGAGGCTGACTGCTGAGTCAAACCACATGCTGGCCAACCAAAAGCTGCCACACTAATCTCATTGAACGTTTAGTTCCTCAACATCACACACACAATGATCTCAACCTAATAGGAGTTCAAAAATCTTTCCAGAGTTCAAGTCCAAACCACAAAAACAAAAAATTACAAAGCTAAAAGGCTAAGCTAGGTTAACCGACTAGGCTAACAGGCTAATTGAGGCTAAAAGGCTAACAATCACAACACTATTATGTCCACAGGGTGATTAGTCAGATCAAGGCCTCTAATGGACGTGCTTAGTGGGCCTGCCATCGTCTCGTGTTCCTCCCTCGCTGCACTCCTTGCTCTAGACAGCTAATTAAGAGAGGCTTTGGCGCTCATTTGTGTCATGTCTCCTCAGCGTCGCGTTTCCGTCACACCGTGGCCATCTGCCAATTTCCTCAGTCACCTGGTTTTTGGCGGCGCTGCCATTTTCTGTCACCTTGCTGCGTAGCTCCCACTGGACATACGCTGTACGACAGAGTACACATTTACCTGTTAGCAGTCAAGCCCTTCAAACAAGAAGACAGACACTGTATTATATATCTAACAGCTGATTTGAAGCCTGCATGTACTTTGATGTATGGCTGTGAACATTTTGCAATGACAAGTGTTTTTCCATTGTTTACAAAACTAACATTTCCATAAAATACATTGCATTGGAATAAGGGAGGATACTGCAATGTCTTGGAATCATAAAATAACAAGATGACAGCAGCGTTGACACATTGAAGTGGAATGACGACTTCTCTGAGAGGCAGTCAGAGTATGACATCCTTGATGTTGCAAGCTAGACAGAGGGCAAGTCAATGCCATGTCATTGTCTTGATGTTGCAAGCGAGACAGAGGGCAAGTCAATGCTATTTAATTGTCTTGATGTTGCAAGCGAGACAGAGGGCAAGTCAATGCTATTTAATTGTCTTGATGTTGCAAGCGAGACAGAGGGCAAGTCAATGCTATGTCATTGTCTTTGCCAAGGGATGTTTTGTATGCAGAGATCAGGCGATGGAAACGTCCCAGCTACAACATGAAGACCTGAGAAACATCTCTTCATCTCTAGCCTGGGCATACTACAAAAGGAAGGATGTCATCTTCTCTCATCCCTCAACTACAATCAACCATAATACATGTTGACAGGAACCACCTACTGTAGGCTACAAGCCTATTCACAAAGGAAATGAATTAACACAATATATTTTGCAACCCGTGGTAAATGCTCTCCACGCTGCATTAGTTACTAACTCGTTCATCAATACGAGCAGATGAAGATGAACTCAATCAGGAGAATATTCCATCAAATGCACCATAACCTAGTGGCCTCATTCTCATGCATGTTTGGCCGTGTGTGTGGGTGTGCGCGCCAGGCTGGTCTGAGGGCCAAGGGCCACCGGCATGGTGGACTCTGGTGTCAAACTACTCCTAATCTGTCTTTCTCTGTGAAGGTCACCCCTGGCCCTGTGACAAGAACACGGTGACTCATTAAACTTCTGGTTGCCATGGAAGTCATGCATTCAACGTTTCAGAATGAGTGGAAAACCGTGGATAGGAGCAGGTGATAAGCACATTGCAATATGCGACAGTAACACTGACAGTATTGTTCGAAATGCAGCTGGGTTTCATTTAGACCATTTTCTCGCAAACAGGTAAATTGAGAGTGATTACTCGATTTCTCTACCCATCTCCCCCCCAACTGTTAGCTCAAGGTTTACAATGGCACAAATGATTCAACACACAGCATTATGAAAGCAATAAGATAATCCAAAGAATGGAACACTCTTTATGCCAGGCCGTTATCGAAACAAAATGCTGTGACTGAAAAGCTGCGTATTACGAACATCTCCCTCACCGGTCACAAATGTAGAATATAGGACATAGGTTTCCATTCCACCGTCACCAATGCTTCTGTAATATAGGGGCCAGTGATCTCAGGAGGCCACACTTCTTCACCGCTCTCCAGTTCCCTTCTGCCCCAGCCAACTGACCTAAATTCATAACCCAGAGGGATGCAGAGGTCCTTTATTTTGGGCACACTTTTTTTCCCCCCTCGATGAGGATCTGAGGTGACATGACATGCCGAGTGTAGTGTAGTATAGTATAGTGCAGGGCGGGCCCGGATATCAAACAATTGGCCTTTTGTCCTTAAAAGGAAAGGTTCACCCATTTTGAATGTAATATTGTTTTTGTGCATCTCTGAGTGATGTTCTATCGATTCCCTGGGTCATTGCATGTGTATCTGAGTTACTGGCATTGAAGCAGGCAGAAAACCAGGCCGGTATGACGTAGCACCGTGAGAAAGTCGCTCTGGAAGTTAATAGGAATACAATTTTTATCTGGCGAAAACGTCTACCATACATGTCAGATTTCAATACTGGCCGATGTCATAACTCGGGAGGATCTCTTTTCTCAAATGAGCCATTGATCATATTTTACCGATATTCCTACCTTGAAAACTTGGGACTATAACGGAGGGTCTAGCACATTTTTCCTATTGGCCTGCCTCTTTAGTCCAGGGTGCGTTGCATGGTGCCGTTGCCAGAGATATTATAGAAAGGAGAAAGGAATCCAATGAATGAATGAAGGAACGTATAAACGCCCCACCCAGCAAACTGTTGACCAATTGTGTTCACGTTTCATGCTGCGTTTCGCGGTTGCTAAGCTAATCATCATGCAATCCCTTCTCAAAATCAGTGTGTATGTGGAGAAACAAGCCTATTTTCTTCAAAAGTACGTAATGTCACGATTCCAAAGCTATACGATACTACAGATAGAAAGTTAATTATCTCACATCTCTGAAAAGATTGGTAATGTTGTACTTCTTGTTGACGGAATTTGTGCTAAATGTTGGGTTTTTGAGCAAGCAGCCAATAGACTCCCATTCACTCCTTGATGGAGAGCGCTCCTTGTCCCAGAATCGCCCAGAATGCACAAGGCGGCCCATTGACGTAGCATGGGCAATGTTTCCCCATCTCCTCAAAAGGATATCTGCCGTTGCAAATGTTAGACTCCACTCTGAGGCACATCGATCTGCAGGTTGAACATGGTGAGAATGTTTATGCGATTTTATAGCTAATTAGCTATGTTACATGCTGATTTGAGCTGACTTGAGCTGCAACAGATTTTCCATTTTGCTACCAACCCTATTATAAAAACGCCAAAATGAAACATATGTTTACAAAAAATATTGTTCTCACATAGTGTTATTTAAAACTGTAAATTAAAGGAATGAGTGGTTTTGGGTGGATTTCTTCCTTTAATGCTGTGGGGGAACTGAACTGGATGCTTAGTTAAAGTGTGACAGTAAAGGTCTATTTACTCCATGGCTGGACAGACAGACCACCCTCCAGATGTAGAGTTGTAGCTTTGATGGAAGGGTAGACTAGGCTATACAGTGTTGTGCTGTTTGGGAGGGAGGCAGTCACAGGCCCACGGACAGACAGACAGACGTCATGCACGGGTAACTAGGACACAATCAGTCTCATGCCTACTGGGCACGTCGCCATCCCTTTGCAGTACAGTCATGGTGCTGTTTTCTCTATTCTCGAGACAAGAGGGAGGAGAGGAGGAGAGAAGGAAAAGGGTGGTGGTAAAGAATGCCGTCGTAGGCCCCGGTCCAGTTTCCACACCTTGGTAAACCTCCTAAATGTGCCATTACACAAACGAGCCGGGGTTTAGGCAGCGCTCAAATGACACAGCGTAAATATTCATGAGATTGTGGCGCTTTAAATGGGACTCTGATTATTCCTTTCAAATCCCCAAAAAGTGGAGGCAGGGACACGATGCATCTTTCATCAGCTGTGTCTGATTGAAATCCCTCTAGGTTTTGGTTGGCAGTGTGCGACTATGGCTCAAAATGCATTTTCCCCCCCCCATACCCTGTTGCTTACTAAGTGCTGACACCCTCAACTAGACGGCAGTGTTACCGTCAGTGCTATATTTTGTTTTTCTCATCCATACTACTATGTCAACAACAGACAGCTTGACAACAGTGTTGTTGCCATAGAGACATTGTGCATGCTGTACACCTACTAACTTCACACAGCCTTAGAGAGTATGACAACCACAGATCAAACAAAGGCCTGGGTTGTTTTGATTTTGAGAAGGAATGAAAATAAAATACCACTCTTTCCACAATCTTAAACTGAGCGGTAGACGACCTCTCCCCAGTCTCTTTGGCACATGCAGAGAGCAAGGGTCTAGGGTTGACTGTGCTGACAGTCTTGTCTCCCAATGCTCTGTGAGCTCTACTTCTCAAAACAGCTCAAGCCGCATCACAATCACATCTATTTGCTCTGACAGGGAAGTACTTTTTAAAATGTGGTTTTGATTCGCTTTCTTTAATAGAAATGACTTTAAATTTCACTGTAATGTCAGGAGACTTGTATGCATTTAAAAAGCCTTTCTAAACACTCCACAATGATGCATCATTGTATACATCTGGCCCTTCATTGGACACTGTGTTAACAAACCTCCAAACGAGCTTCAACGCCATACAACACTCCTTCCGTAGCCTCCAACTGCTCTTAAACGCTAGTAAAACTAAATGCATGCTCTTCAACCGAACGCTGCTTGCACCCGCCCACCCGACTAGAATCACTACTCTCGGCAGGTCTGACCTAGAGTATGTGGACAACTACAAATACCTAGGTGTCTGGTTAGACTGTAAACTCTCCTTCCAGACTCACATTAAGCATCTCCAATCCAAAGTGAAATCTAGAATCGGCTTCCTATTTCGCAACAAAGCCTCCTTCACTCATGCTGCCAAACATGCCCTCGTAAAACTGGCTATCCTACCGATCCTTGACTTCAGCGATGTCATTTACAAAATAGCTTCCAACACTCAACTCAGCAAATTGGATGTAGTCTATCACAGTGCCATCCGTTTTGTCACCAAAGCCCCATATACTACCCACCACTGTGACCTGTACGCTCTTGTTGGCTGGCCCTCACTACATATTCGTCGCCAAACCCACTGGCTCCAGGTCATCTATAAATCACTGGCAAATCCCAGTCTTACCTTAGCTCACTGGTCACCATAGCAACACCCACCCGTAGTCTGCGCTCCAGCAGGTATATCTCACTGGTCATCCCCAAAGCAAACACCTCCTTTAGCCGCCATTCCTTCCAGTTCTCTGCTGCCAATGACTGGAACGAACTGCAAAAATCTCTGAAGCTGGAGACACTTATCTCCCTCACTAACTTTAAGCGTCAGTTGTCAGAGCAGCTTACCGATCACTGAACTTGTACACAGCCATTCTGAAATTAGCCCACTCAACTACCTCATCCCCATATTTATTTATTTTGCTAATATGCACCCCAGTATCTATTTGCACATCTATCATTCCAGTGTTAATACGAAATTGTAACTATTTTGCACTATGGCCTATTTATTGCCTTACCTCCATAACTTACTACATTCGCACACACTGTATATATATTTTCTGTTTGTATTTTTGACTTTATATTTTGTTTACCCCATATGTAACTCTGTGTTCTTTTTAATCGCACTGCTTTGCTTTATCTTGGCCAGGTCGCAGTTGTAAATGAGAACTTGTTCTCAACTGGCTTACCTGGTTAAATAAAGGTGAAATAAATAAAATAACAATATTACACATATATACAGTGCATTCGGAAAGTATTCAGACCCCTTCCCGTTTTCCACTTTGTTACGTTACAGCCATATTCTAAAATCAATGAAGTCACCCTCAATCTACACAAAATACCCCATTCTGACAAAGCAAAAACAGGTTTAGACATTTTTGCAAATTTATAAAAAATTTAAAAAACTGAAAAAAGTTATTTACATAAGTATTCAGAATCTTTGCTATGAGACTCGAAATTGAGGTCAGGTGCATCCGGTTTTCATTGATCATTGACAGTGCATGTCAGAGCAAAAACCAAGCCATGAGGTCGAAGGAATTGTCTGTAGAGCTCAGAGACAGGATTGTTTAGAGGGTAACAAAAATTCCCCAAGAACACAGTGGCCTCCATCATTCTTAAATGGAAGAAGTTTGGAACCACCAAGACTCTTCCTAGAGCTGGCCGCCCGGCCAAACTGAGCAAATCGGGGGAGAAGGGCCTTGGTCAGGGAGGTGGCCAAAAACCCAATGATCAATCTGACAGAGCTTCAGAGTTCCTCTGTGGAGATGGGAGAACCTTCCAGAAGCACAACCATCTCTTCAGCACTCTACCAAAATCAGGCCATTATGGTAGAGTGGCCAGACGGAAGCCACTCCTCAGTAAAAGGCACATGACAGCCCGCTTGGAGTTTACCAAAAGGCACATAAAAAGAACTCTGACCATGAGAAACAAGATTCTCTGGTCTGATGAAACCAAGACTGAACTCTTTTGGCTGAAAGCCAAGAGTCACGTCTGGAGGAAACCTGGCACCATCCCTACAGTGAAGCATGTTTGTGGCTTCATCACGCTGTGGGGATGTTTTCAGGGGCAGGCAGTGGAAGATTAGTCAGGATCGAGGGAAAGATTAACTGAGCAAAGTACAGAGCGACGCTCCCCATCTAACCTGACAGAGTTTGAGAGGATCGGCAGAGAAGAACGGGAGAAACTCCCAAAAACAGGTGTGCCAAGCTTGTAGCGTCATACCCAAGAAGTGGTCCTCTGTAGCTCAATTGGTAGAGCATGGCGCTTGTAACGCCAGGGTAGTGGGTTCGATCCCCGGGACCACCCATACGTAAAAATGTATGCACACATGACTGTAAGTCACTTTGGATAAAACAGTCTGCTAAATGGCATATTATTATTATAAGACTCGAGGCTGTAATTGCTGACAAAGGTGCTTCAACAAAGTACTGAGTAAAGGGTCTGAATACTAATGTAAATGTGATATTGAAGTTTTTTTTTTTTTTTTATACATTTGCAAAATTTTCTAAAAACCATTTTTTACTTTGTCATTATGGGGTATTGTGTTAAATTTTTTTAAATCCATTTTAGAATAAGGCTGTAACCCAACAAAATGTGGAAAAAGTCAAGCGTTCTTAATACTTACCGAATGCACTGTGTGTGTGTACAAACTACCGTTCAAAAGTTTGGGGTCACTAAGAAATGTCCTTGTTTTCGAAAGAAAAGCAATTTTTTTGTCCATTAAAATAACATCAAATTGATCAGAAATACAGTGTAGACATTGTTAATGTTGTAAATGGCTATTGTAGCTGGAAACGGCTGATTTTTAATGGATATATCTTCATAGGCATACAGAGGACCATTATCAGCAACCATCAGTCCTGTGTGCCAATGGCACATTGTGTTGGCTAATCCAAGTTTATCATTTTAAAAAGGCTAATTGATCATTAGAAAAACCTTTCGCAATTATGTTAGCACAGCTGAAAACTGTTGTGCTTATTAAAGAAGCAATAAAACTGGCCTTCTTGAGACTAGTTGAGTATCTGGAGCATTGACATCATTTGAGTCAATTGGAGGTGTACCTGTGAATGTATTTCAAGGCCTACCTTCAAACTCAGTGCCTCTTTGCTTGACATCATGGGAAAATCAAAAGACAAATCACCAAGACCTCAGAAAAAAAAATTTGTAGACCTCCACAAGTCTGGTTCATCCTTGGGAGCAATTTCCAAATGCCTGAAGGTACCACGTTCATCTGTACAAACAATAGCACGCAAGTATAAACACCATGGGACCACGCAGAAATGTCCTCTGGTCTGATGAAATAAAAATAGAACTGTTTGGCCATAATGACCATCATTATGTTTGGAGGAAAAAGTGGGTCGCTTGCAAGCCGAAGAACACCATCCCAACCGTGAAGCACAGGGGTGGCAGCATCATGCTGTGGGGGTGCTTTGCTGCAGGAGGGACTGGTGCACTTCACAAAATAGATGGCATCATGAGGAAGGAAAATTATGTGGATATATTGAAGCAACATCTCAAGACATCAGTCAGGAAGTTAAAGCTTGGTCGCAAATGGGTCTTCCAAATGGACAATGACCCAAAGCATACTTCCAAAGTAGTGGCAAAATGGCCTAAGGACAACAAAGTCAAGGTATTGGAGTGGCCATCACAAAGCCCTGACGTCAATCCTATAGAAAATTTGTGGGCAGAACTGAAAAAGCGTGTGCGAGCAAGGAGGCCTACAAACCTAACTCAGTTACACCAGCTCTGTCAGGAGGAATGGGACAAATTTTACCCAACTTTTTGTGGGAAGCTACCCGAAACGTTTGACCCAAGTTAAACAATTTAAAGGCAATGCTACCAAATACTAATTGAGTGTATGTAAACTTCTGACCCACTGGGAATGTGATGAAAGAAATAAAAGCTAAAATAAATCATTCTCTACTATTATTCTGACATTTCACATTCTTAAAATAAAGTGGTGATCCCAACTGACCTAAGACAGGGAATTTTTACTAGGATTAAATGTCAGGAATTGTGAAAAACTGAGTTTAAATGTATTTGGCTAAGGTGTACAGTGGGGAGAACAAGTATTTGATACACTGCCAATTTTGCAGGTTTTCCTACTTACAAAGCATGTAGAGGTCTGTAATTTTTATCATAGGTACACTTCAACTGTGAGAGACAGAATCTAAAACAAAAATCCAGAAAATCACATTGTATGATTTTTAAGTAATTAATTTGCATTTTATTGCATGACATAAGTATTTGATACATCAGAAAAGCAGAACTTAATATTTGGTACAGATACCTTTGTTTGCAATTACAGAGATCATATGTTTCCTGTAGGTCTTGACCAGGTTTGCACACACTGCAGCAGGGATTTTGGCCCACTCCTCCATACAGACCTTCTCCAGATCCTTCAGGTTTCGGGGCTGTCGCTGGGCAATACGGACTTTCAACTCCCTCCAAATACTTTCTATTGGGTTCAGGTCTGGAGACTGGCTAGGCCACTCCAGGACCTTGAGATGCTTCTTATGGAGCCACTCCTTAGTTGCCCTGGCTGTGTGTTTCGGGTCGTTGTCATGCTGGAAGACCCAGCCACGACCCATCTTCAATGCTCTTACTGAGGGAAGGAGGTTGTTGGCCAAGATCTCACGATACATGGCCCCATCCATCCTCCCCTCAATACGGTGCAGTCGTCCTGTCCCCTTTGCAGAAAAGCATCCCCAAAGAATGATGTTTCCACCTCCATGCTTCACGGTTGGGATGGTGTTCTAGGGGTTGTACTCATCCTTCTTCCTCCAAACATGGCGAGTGGAGTTTAGACCAAAAAGCTATATTTTTGTCTCATCAGACCACATGATCTTCTCCCATTCCTCCTCTGGATCATCCAGATGGTCATTGGCAAACTTCAGACAGGACTGGACATGTACTGGCTTGAACAGGGGGACCTTGCGTGCGCTGCAGGATTTTTATCCATGACGGCGTAGTGTGTTACTAAAGGTTTTCTTTGAGACTGTGGTCCCAGCTCTCTTCAGGTCATTGACCAGGTCCTGCCGTGTAGTTCTGGGCTGATCCCTCACCTTCCTCATGATCATTGATGCCCCACAAGGTGAGATCTTGCATGGAGCCCCAGACCGAGGGTGATTGACCATCATCTTGAACTTCTACCATTTTCTAATAATTGCGCCAACAGTTGTTGCCTTCTCACCAAGCTGCTTGCCTATTGTCCTGTAGCCCATCCCAGCCTTGTGCAGGTCTACAATTTTATCCCTGATGTCCTTACACAGCTCTCTGGTCTTGGCCATTGTGGAGAGGTTGGAGTCTGTTTGATTGAGTGTGTGGACAGGTGTCTTTTATACAGGTAACGAGTTCAAACAGGTGCAGTTAATACAGGTAATGAGTGGAGAACAGGAGGGCTTCTTAAAGAAAAACTAACAGGTCTGTGAGAGCCCAGAATTCTTACTGGTTGGTAGGTGATCAAATACTTATGTCATGCAATAAAATGCAAATTAATTACTTAAAAATCATACAATGTGATTTTCTGGATTTTTGTTTTAGATTCCGTATCTCACAGTTGAAGTGTACCTATGATAAAAATTACAGACCTCTACATGCTTGTAAGTAGGAAAACCTGCAAAATTGGCAGTGTATCAAATACTTGTTCTCCCCACTGTATGTATGTAAACTTCCGACTTCAACTGTACACACACACACACACACACACACACACACACGTCAGTCAAAAGTTTGGACACCTACTCATTCAAGTGTTTCTCTTTATTTTTACATTGTAGAATAATAGTGAAGACATCAATACTATGAAATAACACATATGGGTTCATGTAGTAACCAAAAAAAGTGTTAAACAAATCTTAAAATGTGAGATTCTTCAATGTAGCCACCCTTTGCCTTGATGACAGCTTTGCACACTCTTGGCAATTCTCTCAACCAGCTTCATGAGGTAGTCACCTGCAATGCATTTCAATTAACAGGTGTGCCTTGTTAAAATTCGTGGAATTTCTTTCCTTCTTAATGCTTTTGAGCCAATCAGTTGTGTTGTGACAAGGTAGGGTTGGTATACAGAAGATAGCCCTATTTGGTAAAAGACCAAGTCCATATTATAGCAAGAACAGCTCAAGTAAGCAAAGAGAAACGACAGTCCATCATAAGACATGAAGGTCAGTCAATCCAGAAAAACTTTGAAAGTTTCTTGAAGTGCAGTCGCAAAAACCATCAAGTGCTATGATGAAACTGGCTCTCATGAGGACCGCCACAGGAATGGAAGACCCAGAGTTACCTCTGCTGCAGAGGATAAGTTCATTAGTTACCAGCCTCAGAAATTGCAGCCCAAATAAATGCTTCAGAGTTCAAGTAACAGACACATCTCAACATCAACTGTTGAGAGGAGACTGCGTGAATCAGGCCTTCATGGTCAAATTGCTGCAAAGGAACCACTACTTAAGGACACCAAAAATAAGAAGAGACTTGCTTGGGCAATGGACATTAGACCAGTGGAAATCTGTCCTTTTGTCTGATGAGTCCAAATTTGAGATTTTTGGTTCCAACCGCCGTGTCTTTGTGAGACGCAGAGTAGGTAAACGGATGATCTCCGCATGTGTGGTTCCCACCGTGAAGCACGGAGGAAGAGGTGTGATGGTGCTTTGCTGGTGACACTGTCGGTGACTTATTTAGAATTCAAGGCACACTTAACCAGCATGGCTACCACAGCATTCTGCAGCGATACACCATCCCATCTGGTTTGGGCTTAGTGTGACTATCATTTGTTTTTCAACAGGACAATGACCCAACACACCTCCAAGCGGTGTAAGGGCTATTTGACCAAGAAGGAGAGTGATGGAGTGCTGCATCAGATGACCTAGCCTCCACAATCACCTGACCTCAACCCAATTGAGATGGTTTGGGATGAGTTGGACCACAGAGTGAAGGAAAAGCAGCCAACAAGTGCTGGGCATATGTGGGAACTCCTTCAAGACTGTTGGAAAAGCATTCCAGGTGAAGCTGGTTGAGAGAATGCACAAAGCGGTCATCAAGGCAAAGGGTGGCTACTTTGAAGAATCTAAAATATATTTTGATTTGTTTAACACTTTTGTGGTTACTACATGATTCCATATGTGTTATTTCATAGTTTTGATGTCTTCACTATTATTCTACAATGTAGAAAATAGTAAAAATTAAGAAAAACCCTTGAATGAGTAGGTGTCCAAACCTTTGACTGGTACTGTATAAATTAATTAATAAAATAGGCTCACTTATTTTCACTTCTTTTCTAGAGCCTTTTGTAAAATGATTTTGTTTTCCATTATATATATATATATATATATATATATATATATATATATATGACTCCATGAGAGGGCCTGCCATGACTGTTAACTCATTCTTAATGCACATTTAACCCTGTGGGCACAGCCACATGCTTCTGCCCGGACTTCCCTCTCACCCCTGTTGTGTTGACTTGTCAGCCATCACGCACACAGGCTAGCACATAGCATGTTCACACACAATGCTCACTGCTCTGCCTCCAGACTTCGTGTCCTCAGCGTCCTCTCAGACCGCAGCAGACTCACACTCTCCCAGAGCCCTGGGACACACACACACACACACACACACACACACACACACACAGGCTGGAAAAGCCAATATGCTATGCTAGGCCACATGCTGATGCTAGAGTAAAGTGCCGGATGAGACTGGGCAAAACACATAACATTGGATTAAGACACAATTGGATAAAGATAAAAAGTCCAGAAATAACCATACTAGGTCCAGCTAATGAGAACCTCTTTATTTGCGATGCATAGTGTAGGTAAAATCTAATTTACTATTTCTAACACCAATTTGACATGTGGTGCTGCAGATTGCTAGCTGGCAAAATGGTAAGCAATCTGCCTATATACAACCAAATCTCTCTGGCCTAGCCTGCTTAACGGGGTCCTGAGAGAGAGGCTCTCATCCTGCCTGGGCTCAGAGACCGAGACAGAGACAGAACTGGTTACATCGTCAACACCTGCATTCCACAGGAGCCTGTCTGCCTGGAACACTGAGCTAGCTGTTCTGGTGCAGGGCTGAGGGAAGGGCCCGGGCAGGCAGGCAGGCACCATGCCACTTTAACAACGACAGAGATATATAGAGGGGAGAGGGAGAGAGAGAAGGTGCAGATAAAGTGGGAATGAGAGAGGAGGGGAGAGAGCGTGAGAAAGAGAGAGAAAGGAGGGGGGGGGGGAGAGGGTGAGAGAATTTCAGATTGTTTATTACAGTTTTGCTTATCTATTGCACTTGCTTTGGCAATGTAAACATATGTTTCCCATGCCAATAAAGCCCTTTGAATTGAACTGACAGAGAGCGGGAGGGAGATAAGAGATAGTTACAGTGCATTCTGAAAGTATTCAGACCCCTTCCATATTTTGTTACGTTACAGCCTTATTCTAAAATTATTTAAATCGTTTCCCCCCCCCTCAATCTACACACAATACCAAAGCAAAAACTGGTTTAGAACTTTTAGCAAATGTATTAAATTTAAAACTGAAATATGTAATTTACATAAGTATTCTAACCCTTTACTCAGGACTTTGTTGAAGCACCTTTGGCAGTGATTACAGTCTTGAGTCTTGGGAATGACGTTACAAGCTTGGCACACCTGTATTTGGGGAGTTTCTACCATTCTTTACTGCAGATCCTCTCAAGCTCTGTCAGGTTGGATGGGGAGCGTCGGTGCATAGCTATTTTCCAGTCTCTCCAGAGATGTTCGATCGGGTTCAAGTCCGGGCTCTGGCTGGACCACTCAAGGACATTCAGAGACTTGTCCCGAAGCCACACCTGCGTTGACTTGGCTGTGTGCTTACGGTCGTTGTCCTGTTGGAAGGTGAACCTTAGCCCCAGTCTGAGGTCCTGAGCACTCTGGAGTAGGTTCCCATCAAGGATCTCTCTGTACATTGCGCTGTTCATTTTCCCCTCGATCCTGACAAGACTCGCAGTCCCTGCCGCTGAAAAATATCCCCACAGCATGATGCTGCCACGACCATGCATCACCGTAGGGATGGTGTTAGGTTTCCACCAGACGTGACGCTTGGCATTCAGGCCAGAGTTCAATCTTGGTTTCATCAGATCAGAGAATCTTGTTTCTCATGGTCTGAGAGTCTTCAGGTGTCTTTTGGCAAACTCCAAGCGGGCCGTCATGTGCCTTTTACTGAGGAGTGGCTTCTGTCTGGCCACTCTACCATAAAGTTCTGATTGGTGGAGTGCTGCAGAGATGGTTGTCCTTCTGGAAGGTTCTCCCATCTCGACAGAGTAACTCTGGAGCACTGTCAGAGTGACCATTGTGTTCTTGGTCACCTCCCTGATCAAGGCCCTTCTCCCCCGATTGCTCAGTTTGGCCGGGCGGCCAGCTCTTAGAAGAGCCTTGGTGGTTCCAAACTTCTTCCATTTAAGAATGATGAAGGCCACTGTGTTCTTGGGGACCTTCAATGCAGTACCCTTCCCCAGATCTGTGCCTGGACACAATCCTGTCTCAGAGCTCTACAGACAATTCCTTCTACCTCATGGCTTGGTTTTTGCTCTGACATGCACTGTCAACTGTGGGACCTTATATAGACAGGTGTGTGACTTTCCAAATCAATTGAATTTACCACAGGTGGACTCCAATCAAGTTGTAGAAACATCAAGGATGATCAATGGAAACATCATGCACCGGAGGTCAATTTCGAGTCTCATAGCAAAGGGTCTGAATACTTATGTAAATAAGGAATCTGTTTATTTTGTTATAAATTTGCAAACATTTCTAAAAACCTGTTTTCACTTTGTCATTATGGGGTATTGTGTGTAGATTGATGAGAAAAAAATAGTTAATCCATTTTAGAATAAGGCTGTAACAAAATGTGGAAAAAGGGAAGGGGTCTGAATACTTTCTAAATGCACTGTAGATAGAGGAGAGAGAGAGCGACACACACACACACACAAAACAAAAATGAACGCAAACATTTCAATGATTTTACAGAGTTACAGTTCATATAAGGAAATCAGTCAATTGAAATAAAATAATTACGCCTTAATCTATGGATTTCACATGACTGGGCAGGGGTGCAGCCATGGGTGGGACTGGGAGGGCATCAGCCCAACCACTTGGCAGCCAGGCCCAGCCAATCAGATGGAGTTTTTACCCACAAAAGCGCTTTATTACAGACAGAAAAACTCCTGATCAGAAATGATCACTAACAGGGATAAACAAATTTGTGCACATTTCAGATAAATAAGCTTTTTGTGCATATGGAACATTTCTGGGATGTGTTTTTCAGCTCATGAAACATGGGACCAACACTTTATATGTTGCATTTATATTTTTGTTCAGTGTAGACAGAGAGAAGGACAGAGACAGTGACATTAGACCCACTTACTCAAATCAGAGCACTGATTTTGCTAGAGGACTACCTAGAGGACTACACTGACTGCACGTAAAGCACTGGACAATGGTGTCTTCATTGGCACTTTGAGGGAGGGTTACTGACTGAGACACTGAGTCTAATCCGAAAGGCATGGCACAGGGTTATTTTCTTGAGTGTAATGCAGTTTAGTAAATTGACAGGAATTTGAAGATTTCTAACTGCTAGAACTGCAGTGACGGTGAAAGCCCTCTTAAACAAAGGACACTGTCCCTCGATATAGACGTCTATTGTGTCATCCCAGCACACAGGCCATGGGACTGCCCCTTTAAGGCATTTTCTAAATCCCTACAGCAGCACTTGAGGGATAATCAGTGTCCAGACAGACAGACAGTGGGCAGAGTCTGACTGAGCTCTCCCTTCTGCTAAACACATCCATGTGGTCTGAATGAGATCCAGCAAGGCCACTCCGGGCCATCCTCAAGTCAAGAACTACTTAGCGGTTCTGGTCAACAACACGATTCAACACACAGTAAACACAACGGGAGAGTAAAAGGCATTTCAGATAGCATGCCGTAGAGGTGTGGACTCGAGTCACATGACTCGATTCACAAATTTGATGACTCGAGGCTCGACTTAATAGAAAATAAAAACTTGAGTTGATTTGGACTTGGAGCCTCAAGACTTTGTAACGTTTTATCAGTCATTTTGTGCCAGATTCTCCATAGATTACTCTCCAAGCAGACAGAGAAGCCGCAAGCAGCATCGCACATGCAAATAATTTTTTTTGCAACAGATTGGCTAGTGAAACGCACACTCGGCCCTCTGATTGGACAAGCAAACTATCAATCACAGGTCGGGTTAGCTGGCGCAGTGTTTCCCAAAGGGTTAGTGCTATCCAGAATCCTTGGGACTTCCCTGCCCTAAACCCTAACCTTAACCATAACCTAAACTTAACCCTTCCCTTAACCATTTGAAATATCAACTTCAATGGGGTAACGTCAGAGTTGGGAAGTTCTTAAAGTGGAGAATGAAAGGAGTATGAAACTGAATAGGAAAAATACATACTTTTCATACATTTAATTGGCTACATATGCATACCATTTCTATTTTATATTTCTACCTTTGCCTATTTGATCTGGTTTCTAACATAGGTCTACGGTATTGCACCATAGGTCTACGGTATTGCACCATAGGTCTACGGTATTGCACCATTGGTCTACGGTATTGCACCATAGGTCTACGGTATTGCACCATAGGTCTACGGTATTGCACCATAGGTCTACGGTATTGCAGCAACCTATTGTCTAAAAAACTTCTCATCTGTGCTTCAGAACCAATAAGATGCACGTCTTGTTGGTGACCAATGACCAGTCGTCAGCATTAGCGCACAAAGGCGAGCACGCATATGCAGAAAACGCTTCATTTTCTGTTTTATCAGGCAAAACCGGAGTAGGCCTACGTCTACATTATCCATATATAGTTTAGCAATCTACTACAGATGCATCTTTACCAGAAACAGAACGTTAGGCTACCTGCCGATTTCATTGATAATTTTTATATATTTCAGACAGCCAAAGTTGGACTACTGGCTATATGTCTGAAGATCGCTGTAACATCGCACTACCTTCAAGATTATGGGAAAATGTAATAAATTAGCCAGAATATGTTATGATATTTGTGAGGAAGAAAGGGTCTACCCAGTTGGCAACAATCATTCTACAGGCAGGCAGCATGGTGACAGACCATGCATTCCATTCATCTCCTGCAACCTCCGCTGCATACAGGTAGGGTAGGTATTATCCTGCTTGCTCTTAACTCCAGAGAAGTGACAATGTGACATGATATTGACTGCTAACATGAATGACTTTCAGCTCAAAATGCAGGTGTAAAACAGTTTGTGTCGTGCGTTTTGAAAATGCTTCACCGTTTATGGCTGTAATGACAGGCTGCATTTGCGCAGTAATTTTGTGCGCATGCATGTGCGAGGATCACGGGTCAAAAAGTTTGGGAACCACTGAACTAGCAAACAAATTGGTGATTTGCTGTACAGCTAGCTATAGGTTTGGGTGCAGCACAAATGTCAAATTGTAGGAAAGAGAGGATTACCATAAATAAATATGCAGCTCCAAAAATGTTTGGTGATCAAGAATATGAAATGCTTACTTTGCAAGCTCACCAGCAATGGGGCATCAAGCAACAATTACTAGCATAGGCATACTGGTCTTCTGGTATGAAATTGCTTGAAATTGATAATTTACTTATGAAACTTGCATTTGGAATGTGTTAAAATTGGGACATTATCAAAATATGTTGTAGACAAAAATAATGAAAAGGGATGTCTCGTAGCCTCAAATACACAAAGACTTGTAGTTGAACAAGTCATTGCATTTTTTTAAAACTTTACTTGTGACTCGACCCGTTCTACTTGGAACTCGACTTGAGACTTGAACCTTGAGACTTGCTTGGGACTCGAATAAGTGACTTGGTAACATTTCTAGTAAGCAGTGTTCTATGTAGAGTAAACACCAGGAGAGTACAAGGTCTTTCAGATAGTAAGCAGTGTATTAAGTAAAGCATGTATTGTATTGTCCACAGAAAGGATGGCATTCTGTACTGACAATGTTGTACATACCCATGGCCTTGTGACACATAATGGTAGTCAGTGGAAACGAGTCTTACCTTCCTCTCCCTTGCTCTTTTCCCTTGATCTCCCTATGAGGCTAGGCA